AATTGAAATATGCTTCACATTCTCTTTGTTTTGTACTATAGCTTTTCTCCAGTTGAGCACACAAATAAACTAATTTTGAAATTCTGAACAAGCCAAAAGTAGACCAACAGAGTTTTAAGTCATTGCAGGCGATTTTAGTCCAATGCAAAAGAAATTGACAAGAGGAAGGCCTATAAGTTTTAAATATTAATTGATCTGGAGTTCTGAACAGTGGCAGTGCCTTTAGAAACCCAATTCCCCATAACTGAGTACTCACCAAGATGAACCATTCCCTTTCCAGATAAAGTCAGCCACAGAGGACAAAGTTGAATTAAAGTTGAAATACAAGTGGAGACTGGCTGTAAGCAATGAGTTTAAAAGGATTAATGAACTATGTTTACTCAGGAGCACCCCACTGAAGTCTGGCCACTCCCTCAAATGTTGTTTGAGCATCCTAACTCCCAAATACATGGTCACTCCACCCCGAACACTGAGGCACTCCTAGGAAGTCATCATAAGTGAAACTCTGTAGGAAGAGTAGGCCACTCCCTGTGACTGCCTAAAAGCAATAGAACTTGTACCCAGCTCAAGTTACAGAACAAAACAGTGGTTTTCAAGGCTGTGTGTGTGTGCTAAGTTGCTTCAGTCGTGTCTGACTCTGTGAACCTATGAACTGTAGCCTGCCAGGCTCCTCGGTCCATGGGATTCTTCAGGCAAGAATACTAGAGTGGGTTGCCATGCCCTTCTCCAGGGGATCTTCCTGACCCAGGGATCAAATCTCTGTCTCTTATGTCTCCTGCACTGGCAGGCAGGTTTTTTTTTTTACCACTAGTATCACCTGGCTGACCTAGGTTCAAATCCCAAAGCACTTAACACATGGGTGTGGCCTTTGGCAAGTCATTTCACCTCCCTGGAATTCATTTCCAAATTTCTTAAATAACACCAAGAATCTTTGTCCAAAACCAAGTTTCTTCTTCCTGATACTAGACCTTGCCCTAACCCAAGGGATAACATGCATCCTGATTGGGTCAATCATTTCATAACACAACTGGTCCAGGAATGAAAGCAATCCAGACTTGTTGAAGTCATTCCCTTACATTTGAACTGGAGGAGCAGAGGCTTTCTTTTATCTCTAGATATGAAGCCATAAAGATGGGACCTCAAAGCCACCTGCAGCTGGTAGCCCTCATGTTTCCACATGATTTGCACCCTCCTTGACTTATCTCTTAGCACTTCCCCTTTGCTCACTTTGCACATCCACATTGGCCTCTTTGCTATTTCTTAACACCCAGCATGCTCCTGCTTCAAAAGCCTTTGCACTTGGTGTTCTCTTTGTCTGGAATGCTTTTCCTCCAGACACCTTCATGGTTGAGGAAGGGTTGACTCCTTCCTCTCCTTCCTGTTTCCTTAAATGTCGTGTTCTCAAAAGTCCTATTATGTCCCCACTACTCAAAACTGATTCTATCCTCCACCTCTACTCCTCTTTAAAAATTGTTTTCCAAAGTACCGTCTTCTAACTTTATTCTTGTTAATTAGACTATTATTCATTGCCAGTCTCCCCCGGCTAGAATATGTTTCACTGGGGCAGGGGTTTTTGTTTCTTTGGTTCATTGTTGTGTCCCATGTGCCAGACAAATTAGTACGTATGCAGTAAATATTAATATTGGTGGAATGAATGAATGAACGTATTTATCACCAAAGAAGATCAGCTAGTGTAATACCTATCTAATGACACTGTTACAAGGATTGGAAATTATGGATATAAAGTAAAGCACAAATAGATTATCTGACTCATAGTAGGTACTCAAATATGTTACCTATTATCATTTTGACAGTTCACTCTTTTTTTTTTTAACAAAGAATTCCCCGACAAACATGCAGATAAGTTTCTGTATCAATGAACAAAAAAAGACTTACAAAAAAAGGAAAAAGAAAAAGACTTATGGGGCATGCACCAGGATCTGTATGTACCAGGATCTGTATCTTTGGATCTGTATGTGTGTATATACACATTTTGTTTTCCAAGTTTTCTTTCTTGAGCATTATTTTTATCAGACAAACAAATCTATATTTTTTTTTCAAAGGAGAATTTTGGCTTGCTTTGGGATTTTGGCAGATGGAACAAATAAGGTCCCTGAGAAAGTTAGGTTCAAAGAGAGGATGAGGGAGTGGTGATAGATGGCAATGAGAACTAGCAGTGCTGGTTGAAGAGGAAGTTGTGGAGAGATGTAAAACCACAAGGTTAATACTGCCAGGAATAAAATTGCCCAATTCAGCTGGGTGGGTTGAAGCTAGCTTGGAAGAGCAAGGAGGACTTGCTGAGGGTATTCAAGGTCATTAAACAATGGGCCTTAAATTAATTGAACTTTGAGTTCTTTTTTTTTAGTTCTAACTATGGTGAGATTGACATCAGAGGAGAGTGTAAATATTCATTTCTCTCAATATGACCAGAGCAGAGGGCCTGTGTCTAGTAGGCATTTGTTTCCAGGTTGTGCAATGACTGTATGAAATAGAATCACCAGGACCAAGTGGAAGTAAAGCAGCAAACTAGAAACCATCCAAGTTTTGGAGTCAGTTCTGAATCTAGAGTCTGTCACTTACCAGCCATGTGACCTTGCACAAGAAACCATCCAACTTGTGTAAGATTTAGGGGCCCTACGAAGTAGATTAGGGGAAACATAATAACTATGGCATAAATCATATTCTTTAACAAGCAAAAACAAATAGAAAATTAATTTCTCAAAAGCAACTGCTTTGAACAAACCCAACTGATTAAACTTAAAACCCTGCTTATATCACCTTCTACTGTCCAGGAAACCTTGCTGTCAGGGCAGGTTTTCCCACAAGTCTTATGAACACAAATTTTCAAACAGCCATGTTCAAGTTTAAATATATATCTTTCACATATATATGTTACTTGTCTCTTTGACCCCCTTGCCCTTGTGGTTTTGGTTTCACAAGTCTTGAAAAACGTCTTTACTCAAAATATTCTGAGGTTTAAAGATATGTCTTTTGGGCCCTAGTCCTTCTGTCCTTCCGTGCAGAGGAGGGCAAGGTCACCTCTCTATACTTTCCCTCAGGGGTCTATGGGATAAGGGAGCAATTGAAAAATTTGGGTTAACTAATATAAAATAATTTTGTATCAGAATTCCCATTAGCAAGCAATTGTTGGCAATTGTTGGCAGAGAAAAGCTAGATTGCCCCCTGTTTAAATTCAGGCTTCATCACTCCCTAGCTGGGTGACTTTGAGCAAATCACTTATTTCTCCATACCTCAATTCCTTACATCTTAAGGTTATTGTGGGCTTCCCTGATAGCTCAGTCGGTAAAGAATCTGCTTGCAATGCAGGAGACCCCGGTTCCATTCCTGGGTCGGGAAGTTCTGCTGGAGAAGGGATAAGCTACCCCACTCCAGTATTCTTGGGCTTCCCTTGTGGCTCAGCTGGTAAAGCCTGCAATGTGGGAGACCTGGGTTTGATCTCTGGGTTGAGAAGATCCTCTGGAAAAGGAAAAGGCTACTCACTCCAGTATTCTGGCCTGGAAAATTCCATGGACTGTATAGTCCATGGGGTTGCAAAGAGTCGGACACACCTGAGTGACTTTTACTTCACTTAAGGTTGCTGTGATGCTTAATTAGTACTTGCAAAACCCTTAGAACAGTACCTGGCACACAAAATATTTGGCTCAACTGCTAGACCACTGACAGGTTCATGCTGCTTGATCATAATCTGCCTCATTCAACCTTTATCTCCTAGGTGGGTCTATGGTTGGGTTGATGGGAAGGTGTATTGGCTTTAGTAGCAGCAGTAGTAATCCTTTTACGTAACTGTACAGATCAAGATTTATAGGTAAGTTTGGGTCCTGCTCCAGGGTGGCAAGAATGAAGGCGAGATGCTTACCATTTTCACAGGCAGCTACCACCAGGTAGTAAAAGTCCTTGAAGGTAAATTTTAACTTATCAGATTGTCCACTTCCTTTCCTCTCGGCAGGGAGGTGGGATGGAGAGAAGGGGTGAGGATTCTTTTGGAAAGAAGTCTGACATCTGCTGGTGTATGGAGACTTGAAGATAGGCTAAGAGTTCATGGACAGACATCCCCAAGACCCTCTAATCGGCCAGCAATACTGCAGAACTTGTTAATGCAAGCAGACGGCTTTACATCAGGTTTGAATTCATTCCAGCATCTTCCAGTTCTGCTTCCTGCCCACTTTTCTCTTAATTAAGATGAGGGCAACCTTATGGCTTTTTAGGTTTCTTTTAAGTCTCAGTTCCGTTCAGTTCAGTCGCTCAGTCATGTCGGACTCTGCGACCCCATGAATCGCAGCACGCCAGGCCTCCCTGTCCATCAGCAACTCCCGGAGTTGACTCAAACTCATGTCCATCGAGTCGGTGATGCCATCCAGCCATCTCATCCTCTGTCGTCCCCTTCTCCTCCTGCCCCCAATCCCTCCCAGCATCAGGGTCTTTTCCAATGAGTCAACTCTTCTCATGAGGTGGCCAAAGCATTGGAGTTTCAGCTTCAGCATCAGTCATTCCAATGAACACCCAGGACTCATCTCCTTTAGGATGGAATGGCTGGATCTTCTTTAAGCTTAGGGCATCTGAAATACAGCCAAGAGTAAACCTGGGGTAGTCTGAAGTTCAGTTTACCAGAAGAGCCTCTGCTTTGGACTGTAGCAGCATGTACTGGGCACACTCTTTGCCGGCTCCCCCAACCCCGCCCCCCCCATTAGCACCATCCTCACTTTTCCTTCTACTCACTCGGTTTACCGCGAATGCCTAGGTGCGGTTTCGGTCCATTGGGCGGTCACCGCGCCTGCGCAGGGGCTGGGGGGTTGGGGGGCTGAAGTGGGCGGCCTGTCTGGCCCTAAGGCCTGAGCTGTCAGTGCGCCTGCGCGGTCGGCCTGCAGCCTGGCAATATTAAGCCGACTCGCCACCAGCGCCGAGCTGCGAGTGCGCTTGCGCGCGGGTCGGGCGCCGGGGTTCTTGAGTGTGCTGAGGCGAACTGTGTGTGTGGGTAAACCATGCAGAGTGCCGACTCTCAGAATCCCCCCAAGCGGTCCCGGCGCGACGGCAGCCCAAAAACGCCGCCAAACTCCCCTCCCGCAGACGCAGAGACGTCCCCGAGCCACGACCTGCACCCGGACCACCGAACCTGGGGCCCGAAGCAGGTGTGCTCCTTCCTAAGGCTCTGTGGCTTCAGCGATTCGGAACTGCTGAAACGCTGCCGAGGTATCAAAGCTGGGTTGCTAAGGGGTCGGGGGGCCGGCGGGCCGGCGACCCGTGCCCGGGACAGCCGGGCCTGAAAGAGGGCGCCCTGAGTCAGTGAGCGGGGGCCTCTAAGAGGAGCCAGAGCGGCCGAGGGAGACCGGACGCGGGAGGCACCCGAAGGGGTGGACCTGAGGCTGTGGCGCCGAGGAGGGAATGACCTGAGGCGGAGAGCGGAAACCTGAGGCGGCGAGCCCTCGGAGAAGGGGACCGGAGGGAAGGGAGGGGCAGACTTGACAAGGGAGGCACCCGAAAGGATGGACCTGTGGCGGCGGCGCCCAGGAGGGATGACCTGAGATGGAGAGGAAGGAGAAATGGGGCGTCTGGGGTTGGGGACCCGTGGGCAGGGGGCGGACTTTGAGGGTTGGGACCCTGGAGGAGAAAGAGGGGGCAGCTGGTCTAACTCTGGTGGGCTTCTTCAGGGACTTACCGCCCCTGCGCCGGAGAGGCGAGACTCGAGTCCCCTTTTTTAAAGAAGAACCTGAGTGGGAGGGCTGCTGTCACTCATGTTCACCAGGTTCGGGACACCACTCTGCTGATGCAGCTCCATGGACACTAGCCACGTTAGATTATGTGGGGATGCTCGAAGGGGCTTCCCAGGTGGCGATAATGGTAAAGAACCCGCCAACCAATGCAAGAGACTGATTAAGAGACGCGGGTTCCATCTCTGGGGAGTCGGGAAGAGTCCTCTGCAGGAGGGCATAGCAGCCCACTCCAGTATTCGTGCCTGGAGAATCCCCATGGACAGAGGAGCCTGGCGGGCTGCAGTCCGTGGGGTCGGAAAATATCGGACACGACAGAAGCAACTTAGCACACACTCTGTGGGTGCTTGAAAGTTTCTGTTTCCTCCTCTCCCCTCTTAACCGGGAGTTTTTCTAACGGGGAAAGAACATTTTTGTTCATCTCTGAATCCTCATCGCCTACCGTACCATCCCGGTAGGACTCTACGTGGTTGGTGCCTGTACTTGCAGAGCTTGGTGAAAATCATGTTTTATTCTCCAAAAGCAGTTTCCCTCGCTAACTCTAACCCCTGGAGTGGCTCAGTTGACCTCTGAACTCCCAGGAGCTTGCATCTTGGCTTGTAGATTGTGAATTTTAAGCAACTTTATTGGCTCAAGTTCAAACATCCATCCACTTGAAATCTACTGAGCTTCCTGTAGGGGATGTGAAGCTTAACCTCTGCTTTACCCTCTGAAGTGCTCAATAGGAAAGTGGGTGTGATTTGCAAATTCAGAAAACTTTTGCAGTTGGGGGGTGGAACCCTGTTTGCTTAGGCTGGGGACTAGGGTGGGAGGATCTTTAGCTGTTCAAGTCTTAAGGATAGCTTGATGGATGTTGCACCTGACCACAGCCTGACAATGTCCTGTCGGACTGAGGTCATTTTCCCTCCGGAGGTTCAGGTTGTCCCTTCTTTATCCTATTAAAAAAAAATTTTTTTTGTTTGATTTTTGAGCTGCTTGAAGATTTCTGAGATCAAAACATTCTCCCATTGCAAATAATTTTTCTCATTAATTAAAGTCTGTCCCTAAGTTCAGATTTTTTTTTTAATTGAAGTATGGTTAATTTACAATGTTGTGTTAGTTTCTGGTGTATATCAGAATGATTCAGTTATACAAATGTGTGTGTGTATGCTACGATCAGTCTCTTTGTGACCCTATAAACTGTAGCTCACCAGGCTCCTCTGTCTATAGGATTTTCTAGGCAGGAACACTGGAATGGTTGCCATTTCCTACTCCAGGGGATCTTCTCCACCCAGGGATCAAACCTGCATCTCTTGTGTCTCCTGCACTGGCAGGTGGAATCTTTACCACTAGCGCCACCTGAGAAGTGTGTGTGTATATATATATATATACATATATATATATTTATTTACTTATATATGTATGCGTGTGTGCATGGCTTCAGTCGTGTCCGACTTTTTGCAACCCTATGGACGGTAGCCTGCCAAGCTCCTCTGTCCATGGGATTCTCCAGGCAAGAATACTGGAGTGGGTTGCCATGCCCTTCTCCGGGGAATCTTCCCAGCCCAGTGATCGAACCTGCATCTCTTGTGTCTCCTGTATTGGTAGGCGGGTTCTTTACCACTAGTGCTACCTGGGAAGCCATATATATACATATAGAATGTAGTTTCCTGTGCTATACAGTGGGAACTTGTTGTTTTATACACAGTAACTTGTGTGCAGATTAATTTTTATTTGACAAACTAAGCACAAGGTGCTGGGTCTCTTTCCTCATTTTGGAATACAATTTTACAGGAATTTAGAAGCTGTGATCCATGTTTTTTAACATGATATGTTTGAGATTGAAAGGTCACACAACTAGAAGAAAACAGAGTTGGATTTTAAGATTAGGTCTTTGAACTCCAGAATTCATTCCAGCTATATCTTAACAAGTATTCTCATCAAAATACACTGAATTTCCCTCAGCAATACAGGAACAAATAAACCAATAAGAAAAGAAAAGAGAACATATCCAAAGTTATAAAGTCACCTAAGAGCAAGGAAAAAAACACCCCAGTAGGAAAATGAGCAAAACACAAGAACAAACAGTTGACAACCAGCTTGTAAACACAGAAAAAGATATTCAGTCTTAACAGTAATTTTAAAAAACACTGATTTTAAAGTTTAGGTAGAAAAATATATAAAGATTAATAATAGAAATGGCTAATCTAATAAAGTTGATGAAAGTATCAATTTGCTTAACTCTGGACAGTTTGGAAATAGCTTTTTGCTTATAGTGAATTTCACTTGTAAGAATTTATAGAAATATTTGTACAGTGTCCAGAGAAATATATTCAAGAATTATTCTTCTACCCACTAGTTATAAATAGCAAAAAAACAGAAAATTTCTACTGGACCAGGCCCTGCTCACTTGGCACCTGAACATTCATGCTTTGATCTAACTCACCCTAGCCTTGGAAGGGCAAGGTTGGCTGTAAACTTGGGGGCCCAAAGTCACCTTTGCCCTCCCGTCAACAAACCCACATGGGAGATGCTGAGTCCTGAGTGTTCAGTGTCCACACTGTGTAACCCTGAGCTGGCTCCAGGGAATTTTCCAGGCAAGAATACAAAAGTGGGTCACCATTTCCTACTCCAGGAGATTTTCCTGACCCAAGGATTGAACCTCTATCTCTTGACAGGAGGATTCTTTACCACTTCGTCACCTGGGAAGTACCTTGTTGCCAGTACTTGTTGCCGGCTGAAATCTTGGCCTTCTCTGCCTACTGAAGCTGAATGAAAAATACGGAAACAGAGTTTGGAGGAAATAGAAAGGTGGCATTTATTCTCAGCTCGTGCCTGAAGAATTGTGCCCCCCACTCCACGAGGAGTCTGGGGGCTTGTGTAAGGCAAGGGCTTGCAGTCAGGAGTGATGAGGAATAAAGGTGATAGGATCTTGACTTCTTCCTCTTGTATTGTTTCAAAGACAACCATAAGCTGGCATTAGTAATCCAGTAATTGAGTCTGGCAGTTCAGTGGCTCTGTGGCCTTCTTTCTGATATGTAACTACAAGGTGAAGGGTGTTGTAAGGGTAAACTCCAGATAGGGGGATGTATTTAGCATAGAGTCAAAAGAAAATAGGTGAGAAGTGTAGCTCCTACAGAGTTAAGGGGCAGAAAAGCAAACTCAAACATTCAGAGTTAGGAGCAAAGTGAAAAAAACTGGGAATATTCAGACCTGCTCACTATTCCTTTATATTCTTTGTTCTCAGGAAAGGGAAAGAGAAAAACTCACTCCTCTTTTGTCCTTTTCACTGCAACATACTGGATGCTCTAAAAATCTTGATCTGAGTAAATTCTGATGGATCCAAACTGAAAGAAAAAAAAACTGAAAGAAATTGAAAAGCAAATGCTGTAAATATTAAAATCATTTATTTTTTTCTCTGTTTTCTTCCATAGAGAAGAAAATGACAGATTCATTACTGCCCTTTCTTGATGAGTCACGTCCTGAAGATCTTGAAATAAGGTGAGAATGATAAACTTCACATTGTAGCCAAGCACACTTAAGACCTTTTTATTCACATTTGAAAGACAGAGCCCAAGATCATTAATATTAACTGTCCTCACTTTAAATTTGTAGTGTTTTAAAACAGAATACCATGCCTGCTGTTTAACAGCTGCTTTTGTTTTTGCTGTGCAAATTCTGTGTTTAGTATTACTAATGATTCCTATTTTAAAAATTTTTGCTGACAAACTTTCATGAAGTTTGTAGTGACCAAATTTTTACTCTCAAGTTCAGAATAATTGAATTATTCACATCAGAAAATGTAGAACTGATAGGAAAAAACATTAGCAAGCAAAATGCTGTCCTATCTTGAACGTATTTCTAGGTCTTTCTAAAGGTGTCTTAAGACTGAAATGCTTCTTTGGTGCTAAAGACACTGTCCAAAGAAGTGAGGCATTTTTCAGTTGAATGATTTGGTAACAATTTATTTAACCCTTCAGTTTCTGCACCTGTGAAATGGATACCTCTGAGACAATGTGTGTAAAGTGATTAGCACATGATAAGCCCTTCATAAATTATATGTATAGGTTGAGGTCCGTATGTATGACTAGAGATTCTAGGATCTAGATCTAGGTCTACTTTAAAGATCTAGGTTGAGGATCCAATATCTAAATATTCCTTAAATAGAGACTTTATATCCATTGGAATTGGCAACAGTAGTAAAATATTGTCTTTTTTCTGGAATTCCACTTAGTTAAGAGTTATTTGTGGAAACAGTAAGCAAAGAGTCAAAACAAAGGATTATACTTGAGTTACTTTATGCATTGCTGCTTAGTAGTTGGTAAGGGAAGTAGATTGAAGGAAGAGATCACTTTAGGACATTTAACTGACTTTTAACAGACTTCATTCCTCCAAATTGCTTCTTACTACCTATTTCTTATTTGAACTGAATGGATTTTTCTAGTAGAATTTTGCTTTAAAAGGGAAGTATGTACTTTGTGGATTCAAATACTATTGATTTATTCAACAAATATTTGTGGATGACCATTATGCATTAGGCATTATTCCAAGTACTTGGGACACATGAGTTAACAAGATAGTACAAATTCCAAAAGGGACACTGTATGTCACATCTTTTTGTGCCCATCTCTTAACTCTGAGGTGGGTTCTGCAGGACTCCTTAGAACTGTGTTTTTCTATACAGGAGCCATTAGCTATGTGTTAAAATTAATTAAAATTAATCAAAATGGAAATTTTAATTTCTCAGTTATACTGAGTCATAGTTCAGTTCAGTCACTCAGTCCTGTTCGACTCTTTGTGACCCCATGAACCACAGGACGCCAGGCCTCCCTGTCCATCACCAACTCCCGAAGTTTATCCAAACTCATGTCCATTGAGTCAGTGATGCCATCCAACCATCTCATCCTCTATCGTCCCCTTCTCCTCCTGCCCTCAGTCTTTCCCAGCATCAGGTTCTTTTCAAATGAGTCAGCTCTTCGATTAGGTGGCCAAAGTATTGGAGTTTCAGCTTCAACATCAGTCCTTCCAGTGAACATTCAGGACTGATTTCCTTTAGGATGGACTGGTTGGATCTCCTTGCAGTCCAAAGGACTCTCAAGAGTTTTCTCTAGCACCACAGTTCAAAAGCATTAATTCTTCAGTGCTCAGCTTTCTTTATAGTCCAACTGTCACATCCATACATGACCACTGGAAAAACCATAGCCTTGACTAGACAGACGTTTGTTGACAAAGTAATGTCTCTGCCTTTTTTTTTTTTTTGTCTCTGCTTTTTAATATGCTGTCTAGATTGGTCATAACTTCCCTTCGAAGGAGTAAGCGTCTTAATTTCATGGCTGCAGTCACCATCTGCAGTGATTTTGGAGCCCCCCAAAATAAAATCTGCTGCTGCTTCCACTGTTTCTCCATCTGTTTGCCATGAAGTGATGGGACCGGATGCCGTGATCTTAGTTTTCTCAATGTTGAGCTTTAAGCCAACTTTTTCACTCTCCTCTTTCACTTTCATCAAGAGGCTCTTTAGTTCTTCTTCACTTTCTGCCATAAGGATGGTGTTACCTGCATATCTGAGGTTATTGATATTTCTCCCAGCAATCTTATTCCAGCTTGTGCTTCCTCCAGCCCAGCATTTCTCATGATGTACTCTGCATATAAGTTAAATAAGCATGGTGACAATATACAGCCTTGACATACTCCTTTTCCTATTTGGATCCAGTCTGTTCCATGTCCAGTTCTAACTGTTGCTTCCTGACCTGCATACAGATTTCTCAAGAGGCAGGTGAGGTGGTCTGGTATTCCCATCTCTTTCAGAATTTTCCACAGTTTATTATGATCCACACAGTCAAAGGCTTTGGCATAGTCAATAAAGCAGAAGTAGATGTTTTTCTGGAACGCTCTTGCTTTTTCGATGATCCAGCGGATGTTGGCAATTTGATCTCTGGTTCCTCTGCCTTTTCTAAAACCAGCTTGAACATCTGGAAGTTCACAGTTCACATACTGCTGAAGCCTGGCTTGGAGAATTTTGAGCATTACTTTGCTGGCATGTGAGATGAATGCAATTGTGCGGTCACTTGTGCATTCTTTGGCGTTGCCTTTCTTAGGGATTGGAATGAAAACTGACCTTTTCCAGTCCTGTGGCCACTGCTGAGTTTTCCAAATTTGCTGGCATATTGAGTGCAGCACTTTCACAGCATCATCTTTTAGGATTTGAAACAGCTCAACTGGAATTCTATCACCTCCACTAGCTTTGTTCGTCGTGATGCTTCCTAAGGCCCACTTGACTTCACATTCCAGAATGTCTGGTTCTAGTTGAGTGATCACACCATCGTGAATATCTGGGTTGTGAAGATCTTTTTTTGTGTGTGTGAAGATCTTTTTTGTACAGTTCTTCTGTGTATTCTTGCCACCTCTTCTTAATATCTTCTGCTTCTGTCAGGTCCATACCATTTCTCTCCTTTATTGAGCACATCTTTGCATGAAATGTTCCCTTGGTATCTCCAGTTTTCTTGAAGAGATCTCTAGTCTTTCCCATTCTATTGTTTTCCTCTATTTTTTGCATTGATCGCTGAGAAAGGCTTTCTTATCTCTCCTTGCTATTCTTTGGAGCTCTGCATTCAAATGGGTATATCTTTCCTTTTCATTGTATCCTAGATACTTCTTAACTGACGTAAGAAATGCTTATTTCTCTTTGAAAGTTATTTTGATATGACAGAGACTCAAATTGTCAAACAAATGTAGTTTTCCTAGATGTGACATCTTTTCCCATTTAGTTAGATGACTTTGTTTGTATAGTCACCACATGGTTACACTAATAAACTTCTATATTCTTGTACTTAAAACACTGCTGATGGAGCAAATATTGCCTTGGACATCAGTAGTAATTTCTGTAACACCTGTAATCATAATTAAAATTCTCCTGTAGTTCTTGAGGGCAGCAACTGAGTCTGTAGTAACCTCAGTGCTGAACACACTGCTTAATCCCTCTGCAGCCCTGTGAGGCAGATATTAATAGTGTTATCTCTGTGCTATAGGTGAGAATATCAATGTACTAAAAAAGGTTAAGTGACTTTTTCAAGGTCATGTAGATTCCATGCGCACATGTGAGCCAGTTCCGCCTGATTCCAAAAACCTTTTTCATTATCACTATGCTCTACTTCAAAGAGACCTATCTATCTTGAGATTTCACTCACATGAATCATGCAGATTTTAGGATCATTAGGGTAGATGTTAGCCTCAGTTAGGTTAAAGTCAGTTTGAAGTGTATATTGAGCATTCAGTGATGCAGATATGGGAAGTGTTGAAGTCTGAATTTACCAAGAAAGAAGAGGATTAAGGACAGAAGTCACATGTCTCAGAAGTAAAGGAAGGAGAGGGTTTCTAGGGAGGAGTATGTTTGGATTATTAATTGTTCCTTTTAATCTGACTTCTAACAATCTAAAGTTGATTATATACTCCAGGATTATTATTAGCAAATAATGATAGATTTGCTTATCTTGTTATAATTTTAGTTCCTGTGGGAAGAAAATGAAGCTGCTTAATTGTATCCAACATACAATGAAGGTAAGAGAAATGAGTTTATTGTTATTTTTTAACATAAAGTGATACAACTCAGTTATGTAGAATTCCTTTTTAAAAGAATGGAAAGAAATCTCTTTTCAGTAATTGGATTAAGACTAATGGGTGTTACTTTCCTAAACTTTCTGCACTTTCTAAAATAACCATAGAGTATATAAGTCAAGAAAAGCTAAAATAGTTTAAGCACATAGAAAGTATATATAGGCTACTACCGAGCTTGTCAGATCTTAACATTTTGGCTAATTTGCTTCAGATCTTTTATTTTTAGAACAAAACACTAGAAACAATAGAAGGCCTCCTTTGTACCCCTCTTGAATTCTGTTTCCATCCTTTTTTCTCCAAGAGTAAGCACCATCTTGAACTTGGTGTTTAATCATTTTCTTCAACGTTTTTTGGATTTTTTACTACATATCTATGTATAGCCATAAACAGTGTATAGTACTGTTTTACATGCTTTTTTTTAACATTATATACATGAAATTTCATTTACAGTAAGTAACCTTCTAGACTTTCATTTAATGTTGTATTTTTGAGAAATATTCATATCCACACATATAGCCCTACCCTTAGCCATAGAATAACATTTTTTTCCTTTTTGCTATATGGGGCTTCGTTGCTGTACACGGGCTTTCTCTAGTTATAGCTATTCTTCGCTGTGGTACACAGGTACGCATTGTCGTGGCTTCTCTTGTTGCAGAGCATGTGCTCTGGAGCACTTGGTTCAGTATTTGTGGCATGTGGGCTCAGTACTTGCAGCTCCCAGACTCTAGAGCACAGGCTCAGTAGTTGTGGTCCACAGGCTTAGCTGCAGTATGTGGGATCTTCCCAGACCAGGGATCGAACCGAAGTCTTCTGCATTGGCAGGTCAATTCTTTACCACTGAGCCACTAGGGAAGCCCTAGGATAACTTTTAAATTAAAATTACTTAATCAGTTTTGGTAAAAATTTTTATCAAATGATGGGTCGAAGAGTAGATATATGCCTAAAAATTAATTGTTTATTTTTCATCTCCCGGCCCCTTCCAGACATTTTAAAAGCCCTGTTTTTCAGACTTAGTGTCCCAAGAATCATTTTAAGAAGCAGTCAACTGCCTAGCTCCCATCTCAGAAATTCTGATTATGGGAACTTACTTTAGATACCTAGGAATGTGCATTTTTCACAACCATAGTTCTAATACCATAATTAAAGAAATGTTTCTTAAAAAAAAAAATTTCTTGGTTGGTTAGTGATAGGAAATGTACATCATTGCTTACCCTTTGAGATCTATAGGGTAAGGAGACTTACTTAGTTTCAGATCTGGAAGAGGGGACAGGGTTGTCATTCTCCTTTTACCAAGTCACCATTTGTATTTTTCATCAGAGGTATTATATGCACTGAGTTATCTTAGATCCTGTGACCATTTTACTTTTACAAGTTAGTCTGCTTATTTTCCATTGAAAATCATGTTTGAAAATTTGCTTCAATTCTGCAATAACTTTCTTTTAGAGACAAGGTAGTGATTCTTAGAGTAAATTTATTTAATCCCAGCCCTTTTTGAAAAAGTTACCTAATATTAAAATACTTCCTTTTCATAAAGAAGTAAATAGAAGGATCACTTCCAAAGATGATATCTAAATATTTCGTCCTGCAGTCAGAAGACAGTTACTGTCCTCCATTCTCTTGTGTCCCTCCTCAATAGCTGCTGCTTGGGTGGTCTCTTCAGGCAGGGCAGAGGTAAGATGAGTTTTCTTCATTAGTTGAGATCATCTCAGATAATCTGAGGTCACTTTTTCACAATTTGCTGCAAAAAATATTTTCAAAGTAATTTTCAAGTCAGTCAGTAGTTTCATTTATTCCCTTTTATTTATTTTTCTATTTTTCATGAAAAGCATAATTGTTTAACCACATGTATAAACTATAGTCATTGAAAATAGTTCCTAAAGCTACTAAGTGCTTGAGTTAGTGAGTCACTGTCTAGTAATGAAATTGATACCTTTTTGACCTTAGCTTCATCAGCAGTACGGTTGAACAAAAAATTGATTTCTACCCTAATTTGACATCTACCTTTATTTCTTTTTAAATAAAAACAGCTTTTGTGAGATATAATTCACATACCTTACAAATCACTGTTTATTTTTTCATTTTTATTTTTTATTGAGATGTAGTTGACTTACAATGTTGTGCTGTATAGCACAATGTCTGCTGTATAGCAAAGTGACTCAGTTATACACATATATACATTCTTTTATTCATTCATTTTAAATATATGAGTCATTGTTTCTTAGAAATTTCACAAGGTTTTTCAGTCATCACCACAATCTATTTAAATTATGAGTTCTTTATATATTCAGGATATAAGTCCCTGATATTTGATACACTGTGCAACTATTTTCTCTCATCTTCTGGATTATCTTTTTATTTTTATTTATTTAGGCCACATTGAGGAGCTTGTAGGCTCTTAGTTCTCCAACCAGGGGTTGAACCTGGGCCCCCCGGCAATGGAAGTTTGGACTCCTAACCACTGGATTGCCAAGGAATTCCCTATCTTTTTACTTTCTTAATAGTGTTCTTTGGAGCATGAAAGTTTTAAATTTTGATGTAGTCCACTGTATCTATTTTTGCTTTTGTCTCTTATGCTTTTGGTATCATATCTAAGAAACCATTGCCTAACCCAAGATTATAACTTCTTATTCTTGTGTCAGTTTTCTTCATGCTAAATTTAGTTCAGTTGACCTCTGAAGCCAGAAATTATATAAAAGTGAAGATGAAGTACAGTATTGGACATAGCAGGCAGTAACTCCAGGACCCAGCATTACTCACTGGTGGGTGGGCACCAGTCCCAGGATCTCCAGGACCCCCATCCTCCCATCCACCAGAGGGCAGACACAGGCTCCAAGACCACTGCAGCCCCACAGCCTACCCTGTCAGGACCCAGCCAACACATTAGCAGCCCAGCAACAGTCCTGGGCCCCTACCTCCTGGCCCTGCCTTACAGCAGGCTAGGTCTAGCTCTGGGACACCTTGGGTGCCTCAGCCAGCAGTCCTGGAATTCAGGTCCACCCATCAGCAGGCTGGCAGCAGCTTCAGGACTCTAGGGGCCCTGTGTCCAGAGACCTCGGGACCAGCTCCACCCACCAGTGAGCTAGCACTAGCCTGGAATGCCCCTTGAGCCCGGCCCTGCCCACCAGTAGGCTGACAACAGCCCTGGGACCCCACAGGTCCTGTACTCACTCATTAGCAAGCCAACGCAAGCTCTGAGGCACTTTGGACTCCTCAGCCAACCACTATGGAATTCATCCCTACTCACCAGCAGGCCAACACCAGACCCAGGAACCCCGGCCTCAGAGTGTCTCATCTCAGAGCTTGGCTCTGCCCACCAGTGAGCCAGCACTAGCCCCAGGACACTTTTGGATTCTTCAGCCAGCTACCTTGTGATCTGGCCCTGCCAACCAGTGGCTGGGAGTCTCCATACAAGGCAGGGCCTGGCCACTAACCGAATTGGGGAGCAGGTCACACCTCCCACACTACCCACGATACTCAGCCCACCACAGTAGAAGGACCCACACTGAGGGCACTCTTGAAGCATATAGCCCTGATGACCAGAGGAGTGTGAGATGTTGGGACACACAGGACATCTCCCATAAAAGGCCACTTTTCCAAAGTCAGGAAACATAACCAACCTATCAGATACATAGAAATAAAATCCACAAGTTAGACAAAATGAGACAACAGAGGACTGTATTCCAAACTAAGAAACAAAACCACAAAAGAACTAAGTGAAGTAGAGACAGATTATCTACCTGATAAAGAGTTCAAGGTAATAATAGTAAAGATGATCAAAAACTTGGGAAAAGAATGGATTCACAGAGCAAAGTGTTAGAAATTTTTCACAAATAGAAAATCTAGGGAAGAATCAAGCAGAGATGGAGAATACTGTAACTGACATAAAAAACACACTGGAAGGAATCAACAGTTGACTAAGTCATACAGAGTAGATCAGCAAGCTGGAAGACAAGATTGGAAGCCAAACAGAAAAAGAAAGGAAAACAGAAATGAGAACAGTTTAAAAGACCTCTGAGACAACGTCAGGTGTTCACATTCTATGGGTCCCAGAAGGAGAAAAGAGAGAGAAAGGAGCAGAGAACATATTTGAAGACATAATAGCTGAAAACTTCCCCAACCTAGAAGAGGAAATAGATGTCCAAGTCCAGGAAACAAGGAGAGCCCCAAATAGGCCCAACCCAAAGAGGAACATATCAAGACGCATTGTAATTAAAATGGCAAAAATTAAAGAGCAGATATTAAAAGCAGTCAGAGGCTAGCAGCAAGTTTATACAATGAAATTCCCATAGACTATTCGCTGACTTTTCAACAGAAAATCTGCAGGCCATAAGGGAGTGGTAGAGTGTATTTAAAGTGCTAAAGGGAAGAACTTAAAACCAAGAACCTACCTGGCAAGTTCTCAGTAAGAATTGATAGATCAAGATAAAAGCTAAAAAAAGTTCATTACCACAAAACCAGCTTTACAAGAAATGCTAAAGGCACTTATGAAAGGAAAAAGCCCATTGGTAAAGGCAAATATATAGTGAAGGTATTCAAACGACCACATGCAAAACTAGTTAAAAGACAAAAAGCAGAATTGTCTATATCTGTAGTAAGTAGTGAAGGGATACGCAAAACAAAAAGATGTAAAATATAATACCAGAAACAGTACTCAAGGGGGACTTCCCCGGTGGTCCAGTGGTTAAGAATCTGCCTTATAGTGCAGGAAACTTGGATTTAATCCCTGGTTGTTGGTCCTTTAATGGACCGGAACCTGGTGGTCCAGAGTCGACGATAAGAAATTAAGAGAGAGAAAGAAGAGGCTAATATCCCCTGGGTTACGCAGCCGGCTTCTGCACTCCAGGGAATCAGCCAGAAATAGAGCGAAAGAGAGAAAGACAGACAGACACGGGGACCAAAGCTCTGATGGAGCAAAGGTGTTTTAATCAACATGGCGTGGGCATATATACTGTCTTACAAGGTAGTTATTCTCAGCAAAGATAAAGATTAAAATTCCAGACTTATATCTATCAAAGAGAGAGTTGCAAACAATCACCTTTTACCATATGGTTCATAAGAAGGAAGAGGGTACTTATCACCGTAATGAGAAATGCCTGGATTCCTCAGCCCTGGGAAATGCGTGCCTCTCCTCTTAATTCCTGAATATTCAGGAATTAATAAGGGCCAGAGGGTTCCTGACAGATCCAAAACAGCACACGGGAAGCCTCTTGTTAAACGCTTCCTGACACCTGGTCAGAGAATTAAAGATCCCACATGCCACGGAGCAGCTAGGCCTGCGTGCCATAACTACATGAACCCTTGCACCGCAACTTGAGTCTGTGCACCGCAATGGAAGATTCCACATGGTGCAGTAAAGATCTTGTGTTCCTCAACTAAGGCCCAAGGCAATCAAGTAAATAAATATTTTTAAAAAACAGTACTAATGGGTAAAGGGGAATAAATAGAAGTTTGTTAAATTCATTTGAAATGAAGAGATCAGCAACTTAAAATAATCATGTGTGTGTGTGTGGGTATATATGAGTTTGAGCAAGTTCCAGAAGATGGTGAAGGACAAGGAAGCCTGGTATGCTGTAGTCCATGGGGTGGCAAAGAGTCAGACATGACAGAGTGACCAAACAACCAACATATGTATATATATATATACACATACACATTTATAAATATATTGCTATATATAAACCTCCCAGTAAGCACAAACTAAAAATCTATAATAGATACACACACACAGAAAGAAAGGAATCCAAACATAGCATTAAAGATGATCATCAAATCACAAGGGAAGAGGCCAAAAGAAGAAAGGATCAAAAACTACAAAAGCAATCCCTAAACAATGAACAAAATGGCAATAAGTACATACCTATCAATAATTATTTTACATGTAAATGGATTAAATGCTCCAGTCAAAAGACATGAAGTGGATGAATGAGTACGAGAACAAGACCCACATATAGACTGCCAAAAGACTCACTTCAGACCTAAAGAAACACAGACTGAAAGTGAAGGAATGAAAAAGTGTTTCATGCAAATGGAAATCAAAAGAAAGCCGGGGTAACAAAGCCAAGTATTAGATTAGTCCTGTATTCAAGTTAAACACACTCACTTAACACACTCATTCAGATCATATAAGCCATTAGACTCATTAAAGGCTGATGAAATAATATATGTAACAGAAAGGTTGAAATCTTTACCCTTCTATTATTAAGAAGTAAAATGTACCCAGGTCCAATACACTTGATCTGTCTGGTAGTGATTCCTAAATAAAGTTAAGATTTTCATACGTTGTCATTTCCCATAGTATTATTCTTACTTGAAAGCAAATAGCTTTAACTTCACACCATAGGTCGGAATGAGTGGACAAAAATTTTAGATGGTGTAATGTATTGTTGCTCACATTAATTTAAACATAATTTTCTAGGTGATTAATGATCCTATCCATGGCCACATTGAATTTCACCCTCTCCTCATCCGAATCATCGACACACCTCAATTTCAGCGCCTGCGATACATCAAGCAGTTGGGAGGCGGTTACTATGTTTTTCCAGGAGCGTCACACAATCGATTTGAGCACAGTCTAGGGTAAGAAGCCTCCCTGGTGACTCAGGTGGTAAAGCGTCTGCCTGCAACGCAGGAGACCCGGGTTCCATCCCCAGGTCAGGAAGATCCCCTGGAGAAGGACATGGCAACCCACTCCAGTACTCTTGCCTGGAAAATTCCATGGATGGAGGAGCCTGGTAGGCTACAGTCCATGGGGTTGCAAAGACGTGACTGAGCGACTTCACTTTCACTTTAGGGTAAGAAGAATACAATGCAATAAAAGTCATGTGATGAATTTACATTTTTTTTTTAAAGTTATGTGAATGTAGTTTCTCCCTCTCTTCTCTCCGAATATCTTATTGTATAAATTTAATACCTTTTTCATCTTTTTTTTCCTTTTTCATCTTAACTAAGCACTTAGCACACACCATAGATGTGGCTTTCACAGTTTGAGGTGTATCATTGAAACTAGCACAAATTTCTTTTTCCTTCTTCAGTTTCACAGAAGATCTATTCTTATGATAGATCTTAGCAACATCAGCATAACAATTTTTTTCTATCTTTATTGAGTTGAGAATTTTGACCTTTTTGCTCACTTACAATGGACATGAGTTTGAATAAACTCCAGGAGTTGGTGATGGACAGAGAAGGCTGGAGTGCTGCAGTCCATGGGGTCGCAAAGAGTTGGACACAACTGAGCAACCGAATTGAACTACTCACTCACAGGAAGCACTTCTAGGCTTCTCTTTGGCACATCTGAATCGCTAGATTTACTACTCTTGCACTTTAGGGCAAAATAAGGGTTACTTGAACATAAGCACTGTGAAACATTGATAATCAGTCTGATAATTGTGCTGGTTGCTAAGTGGCTAATGTGTGGGATACGCTGGACAAAAAGAGTCACTCATGACCTGCTCATCATGAAGCAGAAAAGTATGAGATTTCATCATGCTACTCAGAATGGACTGATTTTAAAACTTATGAATTGTGTATTTCTGGAACTTTCCATCTAATATTTTCAGACTATGGGTGACTACTGGTAACTGAAATGAGAAAAATGAAACCAATGATAAGGGAAAACTGCTGTGTTACTTTGGTTTTGTTTATTTGTTTAGAAGCATTTTTAATTAGCCAGAACACAAGCATCTACTCAAATCTTTATTCATCAATAAATACTTATTGGAAAATTGTTCAGTTCTGTCTCTCAGTCGTGTCCCGACTCTTTGCGATCCCATAGACTGCAGCACACCAGGCTTCCCTGTCCATCACCAACTCCCGGAGCCTGCTCAAACTCATGTCCATCGAGTCAGTGATGCCATCCAACTATCTCATTCTGTGTTGTCCCCTTCTCCTCCTGCCTTCTGTCTTTCCCAGCATCAGGGTCTTTTCCAGTGAGTCAGTTGTTTGCATCAGGTGGCCAAAGTATTGTTAGAAAAATTGTTAGACCATACCAAACTGATAAGGTAGCAACTGTCTCTATTCTTGTGGAGCTCAAAGTTTAGCGGACAAGAAAGATATTTATTCATTTAGGAAGTACTTTCAAAAAAAAAAAAGGAAGTACTTTCAGGTGGAAATGTTAAAAGTGTATTTAACATTTGTTGGGCACCATATCTTCAATCTATGTTGTAAACATTACAATTCCAGAAGTTTGCTTTTTAAAAAAATGGGATAAAATAAACAATATAAAATTTACCTTCCTAACCATTTTTAAGTTTACAGTTCAATAATGTTAAGTATGTCCACATTATTGTGCAACCAATCTCCAAAACATTTTCATCAATTGAAACTATACCATTGAGTAGCAAGTTCCCATTTCTCTTCTCTCCAGTCCCTCAGTAACCACTATTCTACTTTCTGTTCTGGTGAATTTGACCATTCTAGGTGCCTCATTACAGCTTCCCAGGTGGCACAGTGGTAAAGAATCCACTTAACAATGCAGGAGATGCAAGAAACTTGGTTTTGATCCCTGAATCGGGAAGATTCCCTGAAATACGAAGTGGCAACCCACTGCAGTACTTTTTGCCTGGAGAATATCATGGACAGAGGAGCCTGGCGGGCTACAGTCATATAAGTGATTTCGTAGCGTATTTGTCATTCTGTAATTGGTTTATTTCACTTAGCATAATTTCCCTAAGTCACTCATGATGGAGCTTGTGTCAGAATGTCCTTACTTTGCTCAGTTAAAAACTGCTGATAGGTTACCCTAAGTGATAGACACTGGGAAATTTTTATTGTGTATGCACAGAATTTGTACTTACAGGTACTTGCTTAATTGGGAATTAACTCTTAGCCTAAAATTGGCCAAAATGGGGTTCTTTTGACATTCCAAAATCAATTTTTTTTCATGTGCAGCTAGAAAAAGCCAACTTGATAAAACATCTTTTCAAAATTCTGAACCTAAAGAAATAGAAGTCTTTCTGGGAGCATTTGCATTTCTCTTCCTGTATCTTAAAGATATGAAAGTTCTACCTGATCTTAGGCAACCCCCCAACCCCACTGTGTTCTGTGATCTTGGTTTCTGTTACCTGAAAGTGACTCACGTGGTATACATTTGGCAAGCAGTCAGATAGACTGGGAAGTCTATTTGTCTGACTGTGGCAACTCTCAGGAAAATTTGTTATAAAGGATCTTTCTCATCTTAACCTTCATTACATCCTCCTATACACCAAAGGACTTTACTCTCTTAGGCTGTTTTGGGACATAAACTTCTAAATCTTATGAAGGCTGCATCCTTTGCACTCTCTTGTGGGGACGCCTCTTGCATTTTATTGGCTTGTTAAGATACTACTTGTCAATGACCAGACAATGGATCCTTAAAAGTGGAGAAACTTGGTAAACTGGTAAATTTTTTAGAGAGCTTTCTTTATAAAAAGCTGTTTTATTGTTACCTATGAAAAAAATTAGAAGATGGATAGTATATAAAATAGCTATGCCGTCAGTTTAGAACAGACAAAAATAAACAAATTTGGGAAGCCTTATTTTTGTAGTGTCTACTTAGGGTTCCCTGACAGATACTAATAAAAACATTAGGTTAATTAATGTTAATTAGACTGATTAATAGAGAAAAAAGCTGAGAGGAAAGTGAAGAGACTTCTTCCCAAGAAGGTGAAAATTTTAAAGGAATTTGTCCCAACATGATAAAAACCTTTAATTTTATTAAGAAATTAGATATTTAAAATGGATGTTAATAAGATTAAAATAAAGGTTTTGATATAACAATATGTAAGGTTGGATGGGCCATGGGAACCTTCTGTTGGTGCCCAATATTAAAGGGCCCCAAACAAGTCCATTCTTTTTACCTCAGTTTAGTATATATATGTAAATATCCTTAAATATATGTTTAAAATATTTATTTATATATTTAGAAGGCTGGAAGAAAATTACACTGAGATACCTGATCAGTAATTGTTTGGGACAACAGTTAAGCCAATTAATTAAGCTAAAGGTATTTTTTAAAAAAGACCTGAATCCCTTAGTTAACCCCCTCCCTGGAGACCCCAGAGCCTTTTATATAAAAATAGATAAAATGACCAGAGGATAAAAAGGAAAGTTTCTAGAACCCCTTGTAAGACCATAGCTTGTTGATGGTGTACTAATAAAGGCTAAAGTTAATGGTGTAAGAGTTGATAGGATTGAGATGACAGTTTATAAAAATAGGTGTATTTAAGTGAGTTTAATATGTTTATATCTCTTTTTCCTAACTATATTGTGTGTAGACATTATATCTCCCTGGGGAATGCTTCTCCTCCCTGGTATTATAAGACAGGATATATAAATCCACCCTTCAGAAAATATTAAATATACAAAAAATTCCAAAACAACCCAATAGGATTACCTGAACTTACACAATATAATGAAAAAGTAAGGGCTAATATTCAGAAGCTAATAATAATCAAAGTAAAGAAAATGTAGTTGGGGAAATCAGTCTTTTAATATTATTCAGGCAGCAGACCAGTTCTTTGGGGAATTAAAATCAACTCTCTCTGTCTTACACATCTCTACAAATCAGAAATATGTAACAGCCTACAAGGATCAGAAATGTAATACAGCCTACACGCTCAGTCAGGTAGACTCTGAAACAAAAAGAGAAAAAGAGGGCTTTTTACACTCAAACTGCTGAGAAGGGTCCATAACCCATGGTCTGATTCACAGCCTCCTTAGGGATTTATCATGGACAAATACACATCTTAACAGTCACTCATCTTTCAAACAGAAAAATAACCTTTTCTTTTTTGTTTGTGTTTTGTTCCTTCCTGCTCCACAGTGTGGGATATCTAGCAGGACGTCTAGTTCGTGAACTGAGTGAAAAACAACCAGAGCTGCAGATAAGTGAACGAGATATCCTCTGTGTTCAGATCGCTGGTCTTTGTCATGATCTTGGTAAGCAGTTCAAAGAGCCAGAGTTCTAATGTAAATTCACCTGTCACCTCTCTTTGAAATACAACTAAGAGCAATATGAAAGTTGTGTTTTAATTCTTTAGTTAACATTAATGTAAACTTGCCATTGCTTCTTCCTAGAATGGTTCATAAGCCCAAAGCATTGCTTTCTTTTCTTTTTTTTTTAAGAGTCTTTTCAGTGAATTTCCCACGTTGCACCGTTCATTGCAGGTTATATGAAAGGATGGTCTAATAGCGATTTTTTTCTTCCTACTGTGTGTTGGAATGTTGTGGATTTGATTTTTCCTTTATCTTTGCTGAATAGAATTGCTGTTTCCCTTCAGTTACTTTGTGAAATCTCTTCTTCTCACACCTAGAATACATAATCTGCTCTAGCAGATTAACAACAGGTTTAGAGAACCCCTTGTGACCTATACTCACAACCTCAGTCTTGGGCCACTTAAATCCAAGTAAAAAAATAATAATAATAATAAATAAGTAAATAAATAAATAAATCCAAGTAAAAGAATATCATCTTTCTCCAGAGACAAAGAGAAAAAAGAATGTTCTCTTTTATCACAGGAGTTTTTTCTTCTATCCTTGTAATTTAGTCCTACTTACTGGAGTAATCTATGGATTTCCCAGGCAGCTCAGTGGTAAAGAATCTGCCTGCTAATGCAGAAGATGCAAGAGACATGGGTGCGATCCCTGGGTCAGGAAGATCCCCTGGTGTCGTAAATGGCAACCCACTCCAATTTTCTCGCCTGGAAAATTCCATGAACAGGGGAGCCTGGCTACAGTCCATGGGGTCACAGAGTCAGACACTGAGCACACACACACACATGAAGGACCCTAAGAGTTTGCATGTGCCCTCGGTGCAGAGAAAGGGAGGTTTTTGTGTTTCAGTAGTCAGATAATTGAAGGCGTAGGGCAGTCTTTCCAGCACGTTCCCTTGGAGATTTCAGTAGGACCAGTATCAGCCTTTGATCATTAATTTAAGATTCTTGGTATTTTGAGAGGGAGCTTTTGGGACTCTTTTACCAATCCCCAGGAGTCTAAACTCTGCAATAACAAGCCTTTATTTATGTACTGAAACACGAAAAAAAAGGCCTGGGGCTGGTCCAGGTGAGCTCCCTCTCCCATCTAACAAGGAAGTGTAGGGGGATTTGCTCCAGGATCCCCTCCAGATACAGAAAAAAACAAAAACCCCAAAGCCCGATGCTCAAGTCCCTTATATAAAATCTGTATATAACCCATACACATCCTCTCCTGTGTATAGAGAATTAAATCAATTAATCTAGAATTAAATCAATTCTAGATCACAGATAATACCAATAATATATAAATAACTGCCAGCAAGCTTGGCAAATTCAAGTTTTGCTTTTTGGAACTGCCTGAAATTTTTTTTTCCCCCAAATATTTTCTGTCCAAGATTGACTGAATCTGTGAATGCAGAGGGCCACGTTTAACTCCTTCAGAAATTCTGATGATTCCAGATTTGTGCCTCAGCAAAGCTTCATGTTGATAGATGTCGTGGAATGTTAAGGTCACTTATGAATAAGATGAAGTAGTGATCTCCACTTTTGATTGCCCATATCATCAATAAAAACAAAGATAAGCCCTGATATGTGTATATTTATTCTAAAATAAATTACATACATTATAAAATTTACATAAAAAGGGATGTTTCTAAAGGCTCAGAGTAATAAAGTTCTAATGATTTCATGACCCTTGTAGATTGTGTTAAAACTGCTTTTCTAACACTACCAATATGTAATCTAAAGAAGCCAAAAGTTTTTGTCATTAGCATTCCTTTAGTTACACAGAAACTGTCCTTTCATTAGTTTAGGTAAACTCCAGTGACTCAGAGACCCCCTCAGTGGAGAATTAACATTCTTGTATTGTTCTGCTTCCTGTTCTCTTGTTTTAGAAAATAGGAGGGAACAATTTGTTCCTTTTTGTGATTATTTATAAATTATTAATTTCCATTGATATTCACGTTTAACTAAAAAAATTTCTTTTCCACCAATTTACAGTTTTCCTGTTCTAATGCAGCTTTTGTTTTTAAGGTCATGGGCCATTTTCTCATATGTTTGATGGAAGATTTATTCCACTTGCTCGACCAGGGATGAAATGGACGGTATGTATCCATATATTCAATATTTAGTAAAATAAAGACTAAGCAGTGACTACTGTGTTATAGTATACTTCCTGTTAAAGTTCAGGGTGTTGCTTTCATTTGATCCTCACAGCAGTCTCTAAGGAGGAAATCATTATCTCCATTTTTGTAAGTGTAAAGGAACTCGAAACTCAGAGGTGTACTGATGCACTAAAGACCACAAAGCCTGTGAAATGATAGAGCCAGCACTAGAAAACCAGGTTTCCTAGCAGCTAGTTTAATGCTCTTTCTACTCTGTCATACTATATAAAATAAAAATCAAAGGCTGACTCTGGCTTTGATTCATTTTGTGTGACCATAAAGTAAGGAATAGCAACTAAGTTCTTTGTATAATTACAGATTTGCAGGTAGCTAACCCATTTTTCTTCTGGAGAAGGAAATGGCAACCTACTCCAGTACTCTTGCCTGGAAAATCCCATGAACGGAGGAGCCCGGTAGGCTACAGTCCGTAGGGTCGCAAAGAGTCGGACACGACTGAGCAACTTCACTTCATTTCAACCCATTTTTCTGGAATCAGTTTTTGAGAAGTAAAGTTAGGTCATCTTCCATTGTTGGCTGCACTATATTTGGAACAGAAGAAGATATCAATACATACTGAACACTTCTTACATGTCAACCACTGTTTATTCTCTCATTTTTAGAAAGGTATAATTCATCTTAAGTATGTTGTCCAGATCTTCATTGTACAGTTCAGTGAGTTTTGATAAGTGTATTCATCCATGCAGACACTACTCAAGTTGAGATGTGCAATATTTTCATCTTCCTGGAAAATTCCTGTGTGACCCTTTCTAGTCAGTTCCTACTCTTCCCATCATCATCACCTTCTAATTTTTATAAACAGATTCGTTTTGCCTGCTTCTAGACTTGATATAAGTAGAATCCTATAATAGGTACTGTTTTGTCCTGTTTGTATTCATGCAGTATATTGTTTGTCCCTATTCATTGCTGAGGTAATAACCCATTGTATGAATAAGTCACTATTTGTTTATCTTTTCTCCTTTTGTAGAATTTGGGTTGTTTTCAGTTTGGGGCTGTTACAAATAAGGATGTTGTACATGTTACTATACACGATTTTTGTGGAAAATATTTTCATTTTTCTTAGGTTCATTTCTCCTTACCTAGTAGTAGAATTGCTGGGTCATGAAGTAGATGCATATTTAACTTTATGAGAAATTATGAGACCTTCCCCATTTTAATGCCAGCAATATGAGAGTGCCTCTTCTTCCATGGCCTTACAAACTTTTAGATTTTTAGGTTATTCTTTCTATTGAGTGTGAAATAGTCTCTTGTGGGATTGTCTCTTTTTTTTTGGCACTCTCTGTGGTGTGTTAACTTGCATTTCCTGTACTTTGTCACTGATAAATCTTCTTTTGTAAAGAGATTTTCCACTTACCCATTAAAAAAAAAATTGAATATTTACCTTTTAGTTATCAATTTGAATAAATATATATATAGTCAGATACATGTATTATGGATATTTTTTCTCCCGTCTCTGACTTACCAATTACCAATTTATTTCTTTAAGATTTTTTTTTTAATGTGGACTACTTTTAAAGTCTTTATTGAATTTGTTATAATATTGTTTCCATTTCATGGATTTTGGGGTTTTTTTTAATTTGTTTTTTGGCTACAAAGCCTGTGGGATCTTAGCTCTGATTAGGAATTGAGCCCACACACCTTGCACAGGAAGGCAGTTTTAACCACTGTACTGCCAGGAAAGTCTTAGTTCATTTCTTTAACAAAGGTGGCTTTTGAGAAAGAAAATTTAAAATTTTGATGAAGTATTCTGGTTCTTCCACCTAGTAAAAAGGATAGTTTCTTTCCAGTTCTGCTGCCCTAGGGCCTCCCTCAGGCTAAAAGCCATAAAAGAATTGGAATGTTGCCCACAACAAAAAAGAACTGGAATGTTTAGTTCCCTCTAACTCTGCCTGCTTTTGGTGGTAATCCAATACCTTCAGGAAGTTCAGTTCAGTTCCGTTTAGTTGCTCAGTCGTGTCCTACTCTTTGCTATCCCATGGACTGGGCCAGGCTTCCCTGTCCATCACCAACTCCCAAGAGTTTACTCAAACTCATGTCCATTGAGTCGGCAATGCCATCCAATCATCTCATCCTCTCGTTCCCCCTTCTCCAGCTTTCAAACTTTCCCAGCATCAGGGTCTTTTCAAATGAGTCAGCTCTTTGCATCAGGTGGCCAAAGTATTGGAGTTTCAGCTTCAGCATCAGTCCTTCCAATGAACATTCAGGACTGATTTGCTTTAGGATAGACTGGTTGGGTCTCCTTGCTGTCCAAGGGACTCTCAAGAGTCTTCTCCAACACCACAGTTCAAAAGCATCGATTCTTTGGGGCTCAGCTTTCTTTATAGTCCAGCTTGTTGCAGGAAGGGGGACCCCTCCCAGGGCCGGAAACTGGGCTGTTGTCCGACACTCAGAAATGAATTGTCCGAGGAGACACATGTGCTGACAAAGCAAAAGATTTTATTAGGAAAGGGCACCTGGGTAGAGAGCAGGAGGGTAAGGGAGCCCAGGAGAACAGCTCTGCCACATGGCTCACAGTCTCGGGTTTTATGGTGATGGGATTAGTTTCTGGGTTGTCCTTAGCCAATCATTCTGACTCAGAGTCCTTCCTGGTGGTGCACACCTTGTTCAGCCAAGATGGATGCCAGAGAGAAGGATTCTGGGAGGTGGTCAGACCTGTAGTGTCTCCTTTTGACCTTTCCTGAACTCTTCCGGTTAGTGGTGGCTTATTAGTTCCGTGTTCCTTAACAGGACCTCCTGTCGTAAAACAACTCATGCAAATGGTTACTATGGTGCCTGGCCAGGGTGGGCGGTTTCAATCAGTGTGCTTCCCCTAACAAACTCTCACATCCATACATGACTACTGGACGGACCTTTGTTGACTAAGTAATGTGTCTGCTTTTTAATATGCTGTCTAGGTTGGTCAGGAAGTTATCCAGAGTTAATTAATAGTTGTTTTCCAGCAGGGTCAATTTAAATAGGATCTACTTAGCCATTCCGAAGTCTTTTTCTTTAAATATTTTGCCTTTCACCTGTAAGTCCTTACCTCATGGGAACTTATTTCTCTGCATATGCATGGTAGAAATCTGATTTCTTTTTTAATATAAATAATTATTTATTGAATTGTCCCACTGATCTGCACTCAAATGCTCTACACTGTCCCCACTGATTCTATAATACCAACCCCAACATTTTTTGAACTTTATGTATATGATGAATCTTCCTGGATTCTATTCTATTCCACACATTCATAGTTGTCACTACTTTATAGGAAGTCTTGATAGTTGGTAGGACAGCTGTCTACACCTTGTTCTTTTATTAGGTATCTTTGGCCTTTTGTTCTTCTATTATAAATGTTGTAATTTTCTCCATAAAGATTTTATACATCTTTTGTTGTGTTTACTCCTAAGTTGCGTATAATTTTAGTCATTATTGTCTGTGCTATCTTTGTGAAACTTAAAGTTTTCTGTGTGTATAAATTTTTTTCTGATCCATTTTAAAGTATGTTGTAGGAATGCTCCTTTAATCCTATACGCATCAGTGAGTATTTCCTAAAAATAAGAACATTCTCTTACATAACCTCTGTACATTTATCAAAATCAGGAAATTAATATTGATACAATACTATTATCTAATTTACAGACTTTCAGATTTCATCAGCTATCCATAGAAAAGCAGGAAGAAAACCTTTTTTGGTCCTGATTCATCCATACGTTACACTTAGTTGTCATTTCTCATTAAGTTTCTTTTTTTATCTACAACAAATCTTCAATCCTGTCTTTCAGGGCCTTGTCATCTTTTGAAGTATACAAGCAAATTATTTTGTGGAATGTTCCTCAATTTGAGTTTTGGTTTTCGGTTTTCTCACACTGTCAGACTATCTATTTTTGGCAAAATGCCACATAGTGACCTTAGTGTGTTCCATCAGAGGCACATGAAGTCTAAAGCCATTACTGGTAGTATTAACTGAAAGCACTTGATTAAGGCAATGACTGCCAAATTTCCCCACTACGAACTTACTCTTTTTCCTCTATATAATTAGTATGTACCTTGATTCAGTTAAAAATGAAAAATATATATAGGACCATTCAGGGTTGTGTTTTCATCTTTCTTGAGTGTTTTTGCTAAGAACTATGATGATATGTCTTCCCTGGTGGCTCAGAGGTTAAAGCATCTGCCTCCAATGTGGGAGACCCGGGTTCGATCCCTGGGTCAGGAAGATCCCCTGGAGAAGGAAATGGCAACCCACTCCAGTATTCTTGCCTGGAGAGTCCCATGGACGGAGGAGCCTGGTAGGCTACAGTTCACCGGTCGCAAAGAGTTGGACACGACTGAGTGACTTCACTTTATGATAGAGCAGTTCTTAGCAAAGATCTGTCCTATCACAGTTCTTAGAAAAACAAAGGCCCTCCAGGGGGCCATTTGATCTTTATAACAATTACAAATGAGTGACCAGAGACAATGAGTAAAATGAGTCTATAGTTTGAGATTCCAGCCCAGATCTTGACTTCAGATCTCTGGAACACCCCGCCACTTTTTTTTTTTTTTTTTTTTGCTTCCAAGTTTGGAATTACCCCTTTTCACCACTAGATGGAAATGCTAATAGAACTTGTAGCTTCACAAATTCCAAAGCTGATGATACTATAGAACTAAATTTTATAGTAATATTCATTAAAATGGTATTCTACTGCGAATTTCCTGGCAGTCCAGTGATTGGCACTTGCACTGCCAGGGCCTATGTTTGATCTCTGGTCAGGTAACTAAGATTCTGCAAACCATGAAGCTCACCAAAAACAAACAAACAAAAAGGTATTCTGTCCTTATAATCTGGTAATATTCAGTTGTGCTCTATAATACATATGTATTATAAATGATTATATCTCATTAAATATATTTAAGAAATAATGATGCACCTGGATTGTAAAGTTTTGTAGACAAATTTGACAGATTTTTAAAAATATCTGTAAGACTGTAGTTGAAAAAATAATCATTAACATGCATTAGAACTTTATCTCTGAATTACCAGGGAGCCAAGAGTAATTTGAATAATCAGGGTCCCTGATGGACTAGTCTGTAACAGACCATACTGCTGACTTTTCCTAGCATGAACAGGGCTCAGTTATGATGTTTGAGCACCTCATCAATTCTAACGGGCTCCGAGATGTCATGAAACACTATGGTCTCATCCCTGAAGAAGATATTTTGTTTATCAAGGAACAAATTACAGGACCACCTGCATCACCCATCAAAGATTCTTCAAAGGTAAGTTTGTGTACAATCTGATTTGAACTGACTGATTCTTTTCATCAGGTCTTTTCTTGGTTCCTTCAGATCTTTATTTGAAGGGGTGACATTTTGCTATTTTAGGAGACTAAATGATAAAATATGTGATACATTCCTACTGTTTAGTTGAAAAATATAACGCTTATATAGTTCTTCCAGCTCTTAACTGAGTTCTTTAGAAGTTATCCTCCCAATTAAAATACACATATTAATATTTTTAATATATATGTATGCAGAATTTTATATATAAGCCTAAAGTAACTTAGTTCTGAAAGTATGTGTCTTGTTTATCTATTAAAATTAACATTTGGATTATTTAGATATGTGAAGACCTAGAAAAAAGTTGAATTAGTTCAGAGGGAAGTATGATTTTTTTCCTTTTTGATCTTTTTTCTTTTAATTAGGAAAAAGAACTTCCCTTTGTGTTTTTTAGTCTTTTTTCCTTAAAATACACAAATCTACTTGTAAGGTATAAGATAAATAGGAGGATTTTATAGCAAATATCCTATTTCCAAAAACAGAGTTCCTAGGAATTCCCTGGCGTTCCAGTGGTTGGGACTCTGGCGCTTTCACTGCCGAGGGCCCAGATTCCATCCCTGGTTGGGGAACTAGGATCCCCAGGATCACTCAGCGCAGCCAGAAAAAAAAAAACAGCTCCAAGAATTTTCACTCCTGAATTTAAGCATTCGAATATAAGGAACATTCTTCCTAGTTTATAAATAGACCTTAATATTTTTTAAAATCTTTTAAACCAAGAAAAAAGAAAGCTTGTTGGTTATCTAAGTGAAATAGACTTAGGATCCTTCCAAAGGCACTAGGTTTAGTATTAACAGGATATCACCCCTTAGCATTTCTAGCATTTCTTTCCCTTTTCTACTAATTTGGGGATTAAGTGAAGGAAAAAAAGAGTAGAACCTTCTCACTTACCTAACCTTCCCATTCAAATACCTGTTTATAATTTTCCGGTTAATATACTTGCTTTGCTTATAAATAGATGTATCTCCTGTTCTATAGCTTTCAGTGGGTTTTCTTCTCTTCCAGTGGCTCTATAAAGGGCGTCCTAAAGAAAAAAGCTTCCTTTATGAGATAGTGGCCAATAAAAGAAATGGCATTGATGTGGACAAATGGGATTATTTTGCCAGGTATGCACTGAACACTTCAGAAAAATTGATTAAAAATCTTGTATACTTTAAATTGCAGAGAAATGCATTTTCACAGAAATCAAGATGTTATTTTTGTATACTTTATCACTTAGACAACTGTGTTTCATTTGCTGTAATCAGTTTTTAAAAGTCAGATGGAAAAAGCAACTGAAGTCCTAGAAAATAGAAATGTAATTTTAAACTATCCAATAAAGCTGGAGGAGGAAGGGGAAAAAAAAAATCTTGTATACTTTAAATAGATACAATTTTTATTTAAGTAAATAAGCAAGCAATATAAAACCCATATATAACTTTATTACTGATATTTAAAGTATGGTTTCATTTGCTGAAAAATTTCATCTCTCTGCTTGGGAATCTCTTCAGGGACTGCCATCATCTTGGAATCCAAAATAGCTTTGATTACAAGCGCTTTATTAAGTTTGCCCGTGTCTGTGAAGTAGATAATATGAAGCATATTTGTACTAGAGAAAAGGTAAGCTATGTCAGAGGACAACAAGGAAGGTGTTATTCTTAGCCTGAAGTCTAGAAATAGCCTTTAAATAATTTGGAAAAATCACTACCTGGTAAATTGTCTATCTCTTTACTTCATGCTTAGCATTTGTAAGTATTTTAAAGCTCTTTTCACTTCTCCTGTATGGTCTATTGTCTACAGTAGACATTTACTGAGTCTTGTTCTCAGCACTGTTTTAAGTGGTTTAGAGGATTAACCCAATCTTCACAATCATGTAAGATTGATACTATTATTTTCCCATTTAACAGATAAGCAAATTGAAGCACAAAGAAGGCATACAGTTAATGGCAGAACTGGAGTTTCAATCCAGGAAGTTTGGCTTGAGTCTTGTCCTTAATCACTATATTGTGTGTTTCATGGTAGTTATAATCCTATAATCATTAGTTCCCTGCTAGTTTAGTCATATTACTAAAGAATATAACAGTACTATACTATACAAAGTCTTTCTTTTGAGAATGAAGACTAGAAGAATAATAATACCTAATTTCTAGAATTATTGGGAAATTTTAAAAATACATTTAAGATGCCTAAAACAGAATGCATCACAGAGTTACGATGCTCAGTAGATTTTGGTTTACTAAGAATAAAAGTTGCAGATTAGTAGTATTATGAATCGTCCTTGCTCTTTCTTGGGAGTCTCAGGGGGTTTGATGAATTTTACCTGTGTCCAGTCTTCTTTTATGCCACCATCCCTTTTTCTTGACTTATATGCTTGTCTACTAACAAGGGAACCTAATCTGATCTCACCTTAATGTTTGTTTCACCTCTTTCTGCAGGAGGTTGGAAACCTGTATGACATGTTCTATACACGCAACTGTTTGCACCGCAGAGCTTATCAACACAAAGTTGGCAACATCATTGATACAATGTAAGAAATTTGATTGTTATTTCCCTATAAAATTTTCTATGATGTTTTACTAGAGTAGCATACTTGGGTCAAGTTGAGATTTCTAAGTAAATTCAAGTCAAGTTTAAGTGAGCAAATAAAAAATGGTTCCCTTAAGCAAAACAAAAACTAGCATAAACTGAATTTAGAGGTGAGGAGGTGAATGTTAAAGAGGACAGACTCAAGCAGAAGAGGGGGTTTAGGCTAGGCAGGAAGGGGACACCCTAGGATGGCTTAGATCTCCACACAGGTAGTCACTTACGTACCAGATGTTAATCATCAAGGTGAGAAATGAGATGTGGATAATTGACGCTCTGAAATTAATGACAAAATTGAATTTTGAAGATTAATGTCTCTCCCTACCCTGTCAATTATCAACATTTATAGAAAACAATAAAACCTACAGGAATTTTGGGCTTTCCTTGTAGCTCAGTCAGTGAAGAATCTGCCTGCAATGCAGGATATCCACATTCAATTCCTGGGTCAGGAAGATCCTCTAGAGAAGGAAGTGGCAACCCACTCCAGTATTCTTGCCTGGAGAATCCCATGGACAGAGGAGCCTGGCAGGCAACAGTCCATGGGGTTGCAAGAGTCAGACACAGCTGAGTGACTAAACCATCACTGCAGGAATTTTACTTCTCCCTGATCCAGTCAGAACCAAAGCAGAAAAGTACAGCCAGGTCTCTAAGTGACTCAGAGACCCTGTGAGGAATTTCCAAAAGTGGGGTATGAGTCAAGTTACTTCTGTGGACCTAAAATAGTTTTAAAGGGATCTCTTTTAAGCTTTTACTTTTTTTCATGTTTACATTTGTGTTAAGAAAATTTACTTTTCTACTTTTTTCTTCACCTTTTGTCATGAACAGACTAGTTTGAATCCTTTCTCCTATTTGTATAGCTGTTATTTTGGTAAGAGGTTTTTTTGGTTTGTTTGTTTTCAATGCAGAGACTCAGATCTAGGAACAAAGTCTGGTACTGCTTCTTCCTAACTTGACTAAATGAAAATTACTTAATTTCTATGTCTATATAATTGAGGCTGATTACACCTGTGTTACTGATAGAAAGATTAAATAAATGATGTATCTAAAGCTTTGTAGTAATGCCTGGAGCACAATAAATATGGTAGTCCACAAATCATTGTGGACTTACTTAGCATGGTTGAGATGCAGTTGTCTTTTTTTTTTTTTAATTGTAAGTTGTAGGTATACAATATAGTGATTCACAATTTTTAAAGATTATATTCCATTATAGCTATTATAAAATATTGACTACATTCCCCATTGTACGGTGTATCTTTGTAGCTTATTTTTACCTAGTAGTTTATACCTCTTACTCCCTCACCTGCCCCCTTCCCTCTGCCTACTGATCACCACTAGTTTGTTCTCCATAAGTCTGAGAAGCAATTGCCTTTAGAACATTGTGTCTCAAGATTTTGTTTCTTTTTTTTTAAATTTTTTTATATAAGATTTTGTTTCTTAAAAGTAGAGAGGTTTCCTAAATTTTATACAAAGCATAAAGCAAATATTCAAATTTACTCATAAACATAAATGTTTATAAAATGATCTTTAGGATTACAGATGCCTTCCTCAAAGCAGATCCTTACATAGAGATAATAGGTTCTGAAGGAAAAAATTACCACATTTCTACAGCAATTGATGACATGGAAGCCTTCACTAAGCTGACAGGTAAGAAGTAGAAGGTAACATAGATGGTCCATCTCAGAAACCATGTAAACTTTCCCTGGATTGCAGATGGGTTATTTTCCAAACATTCCAATGTATTGTATACTACTGTATTTGAGTTTTATCTCTGCTTTGCACTCACAAGGTAACCTTGATAAAGTGATTTAACCTCTCTGAACCTTGTTTCCTCATCTGTAGAGTGGGAGTAATGATACCGAGCGTGTGGTTTAGTTGTGACGCTGCACTGAAGCACATAGCACTTGGAACAGTACTTGGCACACAAGTGCTGTGCTGTGCTTAGTTGCTCAGTCTTGTCAGACTCTTTGTGGCCCCATGGACTGTAGCCTGCCAGGCTCCTCTGTCCACGGCGATTCTCCAGGCAGGAATACTAGAGTGGGTTGCCATGCCCTCCTCCAGAGGCTCTTCCCAACCCAGGGATTAAACCCAGGTCTCCGACATTCCAGGCAGATTCTTTACTGACTGATCCACCAGGGAAGTCCAAGAATACTGGAGGGGGTAGCCTATGCCTTCTCCAGGGGATCTTCCTGACCCAGGAGTCTAACTGGGGTCTCCTGCATTGCAGGTGGATTCTTTACCAGCTGAGCTACCAGGGTAGCCTAAGTGCTCAATATTAATTATTTTTAACTTCTAATACAATTGGGCTTCCCTGGTGGCTCAGCTGGTAAAGAATCCTCCTGCAATGTGGGAGATCTGGGTTTGATCCCCGGTTGGGAAGATCCCTGGAGAAGGGACCAGCTACCCACTCCTGTATTCTGGCCTACAGAATTCCGTGGTCTGTATAGTCCATGGGGACGCAGAGTGGGACATGACTGAGCAACTTACACTTTTATAATACATAATTACACTTTCATAATACCAGACCAATACCAAAAAGCTGACTTGCCCATTTAACATAATTTTCGTTGCAAAACAGGATGCCAAAGACATTTCTGTGCAGTTCGGCAGAAACAGACTCTGCACCTTAGGGTGGGACGGAAGAGGGGTGAGGTGTCACAACTGATTCTTTAATGTGGGTAAGATCAGTAAAGCAAAAGATGTAAACCAAACAGTATATACCAGTTAAGAGTTCTTAGTTGCAAATCCTGAAACTGACTCTGCCTAACTAAAAACAAAGTGATAGAATCAGTGAGAAGGCTGGAGTTTCTGAAATGAGAGAATGGCAGAAGCTGAGTGGCCTCACACACAACCAGGAACAGCTTCCTGTTCCATCACTGCTAAATTTTTTTTTACATGGTGTAGGCAGTTATATGGGTTTCCTTGGTGGCTCAGATGGTAAAGAATCTGCCTGTAATGCAGGAGACCTGGGTTCAATCCCTAGGTTGGGAAGATACCCTCAAGAAGGGAATGGCTACCCACTCCAGTATTCTTGCCTGGAGAATTCCATGGACAGAGGAGCCTAGTGGGCTACAGTCCATGGGATGGAGAAGAGTCAGACATCACTGAGCAGCTAACACTTTGACTTTCAGGCAATTAATAGAGTCCCCATTACACTTGTAACTTTTTGGGTACTTTCCAATCATACCTAAACTGCGGGTTAGAAGTGAAATGGTGATTCTGTGTATCAAATGTCTGTACACTGAGAATACTGTGTCCATCAATATTTGCAGTTTATAATGTGACAAGTGAGTTTACTTTTTTCTTGTTAATTCATCTGGGTTGGATTGATGACAAAGTTACTTATAGAGGATAATGTATTTGAATTGTTTCTGTGTTTTGTTTTAATAATACCTTAGTAGGTACACTAGTTTTCCATTGCTATGTGGCTGAAAATAGAAAAAAGATTATAAGAGAATTTAAGCAACCTGCAGATAGTTATTTTTAAACTTTTGCTCATATTGAAGCAAATGATGCTGTATTTTTAAAAATCATTTTCAGTCTTCCTGAGAGACCAATCCTAACCATTTATCCTATAACAGTATGTTACATTTAAATTATCTTTTCAGTTTAAAACAAAAATGAATTTTGGATTTTATACACTTTTGGGTTAACTGACAAACTGTCAAATATTGTACATCTTAATGAGGTCATAACTGCACGTGACTGTACGTAGCTCTTGCTCACCATGAACATGGTGACTAGAACACTGAAACTGGCTTTTACCCTGTTCAGTGAGATGAATTCACTGATCACTTGCTTGGATGTTGTCACAATGCCAAAAATCCCCAAAAAGAAATTAGGTCACATTTTTATGCTTTAACTGTCAGAATATAGGAGAATAAGCATACTGCCTTTCCACTTTAGTCATTTGAGCCAGGAATCATCTTACTTTTCTTGCATGTTATTTTGAGCAGTCATATGATCCTTATTGTCCTTAATAACAACACAGCCTTGAAGGAATAGGATCACGTGAGCCTTCCTTTCTTTTGTTGTAATTCTAAAAGCAACTCATCTTTATTTTGAAAATCTTCACCTCTTATTTTTAAATTTTTTAGAATTTTTTCATGTTTTAGGGACAAGTGTTGAAAATATACAGCAATGTTAAAAGAATGTTACAGTTAAAACCTATATACTAAATTCTAACATTTACCAGACTTGCTTTATCACATATTTATTACTTACCATCCCTCTATCCATTTATTAATCTATCTAAAGCTTGATATATTTGAAAGTAAATTTCAGACATCAGTGTACCCTAATTCCTGCAGCATGCAAATTAACTAAAGTTCAGTAACTGTTATAGATTTTTTTTCTTTGTATGCAAAATTACATGCAATTTGTATGTTTATAAAAATTGTAAGGTTAACATTTGCTGGACAAATGCAGGACACAGAACATTATCTTCTCCTTAGAAAGTTCCTTTATGCTCCATCCTAGTCAATACCTGTTCCCACCTCATCTCTAGAAGCAACCACTATTACCTGTCCTATATCAGTGGAATCATACAGTATATATTCTTCTGCATAAGGCTTCTTTCACTTAGCATTGAGATTTATCCAGATTGCATGTATCAGTAATTCATTCCCTTTTATTGCTGAGTAGTAGTCCATTGTATGAATATGCCACTGTTTCTTATTGTGTTCTCTCTGCTTCCTAAATTCCTATTTCTGATGGATGTTTCAGCTTATCTGGATGCAACTATCATAAGCATTGCAAATGTTAGGACCACTGTCTTAGGTAGTCATTTTCTTACCTTGGTCTTTATTCTGCAATATTCCTAAGCAATAGATGGACCTTATCCCTTCCTTTCCTTCCCTTGCAAGACCTTACCCTCAAATCCCTTAATTAAATTGGGGCCTTAGAATGTTAAATTCAAAAGAACCTTAGAGATTATCTACTTAAACTCCTCAGATGAGGAAACTAAGGCCAAATGAAGGAAAGCAACTTATCCTAATAAATGGCAAACCTGAGCTCAAATCAAGTCTTCTGACTCCCAAGTTGAATGTTGTTTACACTCTTTTAGTGATACTTTAATCATTAAGTTTAATAGACAAGCAGCTTCCCTTTCCTTTTGTACATGACTACTTTCTGAAAACATGTATGTGGAACAAATAGAACTCTCATACATGGCCAATGGGAATGCGGATGGTACAGCCACTTGGAAAAAGTTGAACATTTTCTTTTTTTTTGAGCATTTTCTTTTAAACATATATGTATCCTGTGACCCATTAATCCCTCTTCTGCCCACTCAGCCAGTGAAAATGTCAGTCCACCCTAAAACCTGTACCTGGTAGAATAAGATGAAAGGCATAAGAAGAGTATCAGTCAGGTTCTTTGGGGTTTGAAGGAAGAAGGAATTACACCTCTGACTTGGATGCACTGGGGAAGGTTTCATAATTAGGCACTTTTTGAGATGAACCTCAGAAATTAGATAGGCCTTCAGGAAGTGAGATTCTGTCATGGGGGAAAGCATTTCCCTAATTTAGCAGGGAATAGGGTAGATTAAAGCATGGATTAGAAAAGTGTGGTCTTATTATATTAAAATTGTTTTGTTTTTCAAACTGAGTGTAATATGTAAAGAAATAATGAAAACCAGACTTCCCTGGTGGTTCAGTGGTTAAGAATCCTCCTGCCAATGTAGGGGCCACAGGTTCCATACCTGGTCCAGCAGGATTCTCCGTGCTGTGGGGCAACTAAGTCCATGCGCCACAGCTATTGAAGCCTGTGGGCATTAGAGCCCTTGCTCTGCAACAAGAGAAGCCACCACAGGAGAAGCCCGAGCACCACAGCTAGAGAGTAGCCCCTACTCACCGTGACTCGAGAAAGCCCGTGCCCAGCAAAGAAGACCCAGCACAGTGAGAAATAAACAAGATGAACATGTTTTTTAAAATTGTTTTTTAAAAACGTTACTGAGAGGGTAGGGAATCTGTTAACCATGGATTAAGAGGGAAGAACATACATATACATGTTGGTGATATGAATGACATAGGCTGCTAATATTTTGCCAAGAAAGGGCATTTTAATAAAATTCACTTTGCAAAATGCAATGGTTGATTCAATCAAGGATAATGAATGAATGCTAAACCATTGGTTGAAAACTTACTGGGATAATCAGAGCCTCTGAAAATATCACCTTGCAGAAAGATTCATTTATAACAGAGAAAAACCTGGGGATTATTGCCCTAACCAACTTTTGGAACTTGTTAACAAAGCCAATTATGTGACACATGATGTGATGCACTGAGCCAAGCTCTTGTAGTGCTCTTAAATGTTATAACACTTGTATAATGTTCTTCATAAGTGTTTTCCTTGAATGTAGTGGTGAAGAAACAGCAAACAAGTTCAGTCTGGACATTTTACAAAATGACTACGTGAACTTTTCTAAATTGTCAACATCATGAAAGAAGTTGGAATTACCTAGTTCTAGATGGGAGGAGCCTAGAAAACAACAGCTAATGTCATCCGTAATCCTTGATTGGTATCTCCATCCAGCAACAAAAATTTGTAAATTGCATTATTGCAACAATTAAACAAATTCAAGTACAGATTGTATGTTAGATATCTTTATATCATTGTTAAATTTCTTGACATGATTGTGATTAAGTTAGAGAATGTTCTTGTTCTTGGGAGGTATATGCTTAAATATTTAGGAATCAAGGGTCTTGATGTCTGTAAGTTTCAAATGTTTCCTCAAAAATTTATATGTGCACACATACAGAGAGCATTTGCATCTGTCGAAACAAAACAGTTTATAAATTTTGGTCAAGGGTATTTTATTTTGAAATTTCTGAAATAAAAAGTTTGAAGAAAAAGGAAGAAGGAAATTAAGCTGCCTTCTATCATCATGGAATGAAACCTTTAAAAGGTTTTTTTTTTTTTTGACTGTGCCTTTCTTTGTAGGATCTTAGTTCCCCTACCAGGGATCGAACCCAAGCCCCAGCAGTGAAAGTACTGAGTCCTAACTACTGTACCTTCAGGGAACTCCGTTAAAAACTTTTTATTAAGGAAATATACATCACTTAGCTTCATGATTTAGCTGCAATAATTAGCATGGCAGTTTTATTTCATCCCTTCACCCCATCAGACCCTGGGCCATTTTGAAGCAGATCTCAGACATAATTTTGTAATTTCTTAAGTTTCATTCTCTTTAAAAAAAAAAAATACTGCAATGATGTAAAGTAATTAGCCTCCAACTAATAAAAATTAATGGGAAAAAAAAAGGCAATAAACTAATATACCCTTTTTTTTTGTGTGTGTGTGTAATAAAGTTTTATTAAAGTATAAAGGAGATAGAGAAAGCTTCTGACATAGGCATCAGAAGGGGGCAAAAGAGTACCCCACTAATATACCCTTTTGTACCCCAAACTCAGTCTCAAGTCATCATCTCCAGTGCAGTCTTATCTCATCTCTCCCCTTTCCCACTTATTAGGTCATCCTGAAACAAATCCAAGACACTGATTGGAGCACTTTTTACAAAAGTTTTTTCACATCTTTATAATCATAGTGTATCTACATTTGTAAACCTCTGCTTGAAATCATTTCAGAAGTACAGCAATGTATGAGTCTCTTTAAATCTTGGGGGGGTTTTTTGTTTTTTTTATTTTAATATAACTGAAATTTCATCAAATTGGCAGATAACATTTTTCTGGAGATCTTATACTCCACTGATCCCAGATTGGATGCTGCACGAACGATTTTAAAGAAAATTGAATCCCGTAATCTATACAAGTTTGTGGGTGAGACTCAGCCCATGAAACAACGAATTCAAAAGGTAAGTTGAAAAGTCCTCTGTCCCCACAACAGGAAACCATTCCCATCACAATACCACAGCTGTATTCTAAGCCCTTTATATTAATATGTTCTCATTGAATCTTCACATCAGTCTCTTGAGACCTATCTTGCAGACAGACTGAAGCTTGGGAAAGATTAAATAACTTGCCTACAGAAGCACACTAAGTGAGCTAGGATTCAAAGTCAAGCCTTATTTAATCCAAACCTTTACTTTCTCAACTCAGAAGTGAGAGGGGGCCTCAAATTTTGTCTAGATCCGAAGACCAGAAAATGAATGTAATGGAAAAGGGGCCTCATAATAAGGCTTCTGCATGAGCTTCTTTGAGACTTTAAGGACCTGCTTTTTAACTACTTCTTTCACAGTTTATCACTTTCTCCCAGACAGTGCTTGCCTGCCTTCCTTAGTTCAGTCATTAGTTCTCTCTCCTGCTTGTTGAAGGGTCTTATCTTTGTCAAAAAACCTGTAACACAAGCTATACTGATAACCACACCCTGCTTCACAATACTTCTTTAGGTCACACTTTACTTCTTGTTTTACTAATAGGTTAATGCCTCATTTCTTTCAATGTGAAATTCTGTTATGAAAATCACACTATTGAGATTTGATTAAAAGGTAGCATGGGTATAATTTGTTAGGGAAATCTCTATCTACGTTTCTTGGTAAAGTGCCATTTTTAGAGAAGAACCCTGTTTCGTGGCACAAACTCTGTAGGATGAAGAACTGGAGTTCTAACATGAGGAGCCTTGTCTTTTCCAGGAAGACTACAAACACCTTCCGAAAGAGGTCGCCAGTGCTAAACCCAGTGATGTACAGTTAGAAGCTGAACTGAAGGCTGAAGACTTGATAGTGGATGTAAGTAGTTAGCTCAATAACATGGTATGCAAAGAATTTATTTAAGGTAAAGCATCACTACCACCCCTGTTATAACAGTAGTACATGTTCATTATAGAAAATCTGGAAAATACAGAAAAAAGATGGATAGAAGAGAATCACCTATGATATCACAGAAGAAACTAACATTAGGCAGATTTTTAAAATGACAGCCAACTCCAGTATTCTTGCCTGGGAAATTCCATGGACAGAGGAGCCTGGCAGGCTGGGCTAACAGTCCATGGGGTCGCAAAAGAGTCGGGCACAACTGGGGGACTAAACAACAATGAACAAAATTTTCTTTGACATATTTTTATGTCAATATTGTCAATATTTTTATGTAAATGTGGTCATGTTATTAATAGAGCATTGTATATAGTGATTTTTTAATGTTTTCTTGATCAAAAAAGTAATTGTTGTTCAGTTGCTCAGTCATGACCCCATGAACTGCAGCATGCCAGGCTTCCCCGTCCTTCACTATCTCCCAGGGCTTGCTCAAACTCACGTCCATTGAGTTGGTGATGTAATCCAACCATCTTGTCTTCTGTTGTCCCCTTCTCCTCCTGCCTTCAATCTTTCCCAGCATCAGGGCCTTTTCTAATGAGTGGGCTCTTCACATCAGGGGGTCCACTGGAGAAGGGAATGGCAAACCACTTCAGCATTCTTGCCTTAAAAACTGTATGAACAGTATGAAAAGGCAAAAAGATATGACACTGAAAATTGAACTCCCCAGGTTGGTAGGTGCCCAATATGCTACTGGAGAAGAGCAGAGATATAACTTTAGAAGGAATAAGAGGCTTAGTCAAAGTGGAAACAACACCCAGTTATGGATGTGTCTGGTGGTGAAAGTAAATCCAATGCTGTAAAGAACAATATTGCATAGGAACATGGACTGTTAGGATCATGAATCAAAGTAAATTGGAAGTGGTCAAACAGGAGATGACAAGAGTGAACATCAACATTTTAGGAATCAGTGGACTAAAATGGATGAATTTAATTCAGAGGACCATTATATCTACTACTGTGGGCAAGAATCCCTTACAAGAAATGGAGTAGTCCTCATACTCAACAAAAGAGTCTGAAAAGCAGTACTTGGGTGCAATCTCAAAAACAACAGAATGATCTCAGTTTGTTTCCAAGGCAAACCATTCAATTTTACAGTAATCTAAGTCTATGCCCCAACCAGTAATGCCAAAGAAGCTGAAGTTGAATAGTTCTATGAAGATCTATAAGACCTTCTAGAACTAACACCAGAAAAAGATGTCCTTTTCATCATAGGGGACTGGAATGCAAAAATAGGAAGATACCTGGGGTAACAGGCAGTTTGCTTTTGGAGTACAAAATGAAGCAGGGCAAAGGCTAACAGAGTTTTGCCAAGAGAACACACTGGTCATAGCAAACACCCGCTACTAATAACACAAGAGATGACTCTACACATGAACATCACCCAGATCAGATTGATGATACTCTTTGCAGCTGAAGATGGAGAAGCTCTAGACGATCAGCAAAAACAAGACCAGGAGCTGACTGTGGCTCAGATTATGAACTCCTTATTGCAAAATTCAGATTTCAACTGAAGAAAGTAGGGAAAACCACTAGGCCAAGGTATGTTAAAAAAAAAAAAAAGTAATACATACCAATAATTTTTTAATAGCACACACACACAAAGGAAGAGGTTAAGACTTTTTGACTCCTATTTTCATAGAGAATGTAGTGTCTTCTTATATCCTATGAGAATGCCAGATGACTTTCTAACATTTTCTTCTGTTCTCTTATAAGAAATTCTTTTCAGAGTTCTACTCCTGAAATCTCAGGACAGTCTTCCCTGTGTACTTTTCCATAAGCCTCTCAATTCTTATCTTCTTGCTGACTCATCTTTGAGTGAAGGGCAATCTTTCTATGACCATTTTTTGCCCTTGAACCCCCTTTCTATTTCCTTGGCTGTATGTTCAAGTGCCTTAGATCTGCAGATCAGGCTGCAGGTTCCTGTTTCATTAGATGAAGTTCCATCAGAATAAAGGGATCTCACATCCTGACTTCCTGAGGCTCTGAAAGACTTCCCTCTCCGGAATGTTACCCCTGGGCTTGCACATGTCTGTCCTTGCCCTCAGGGCAGAGCATTGCTCCTAGTAGTCCCCCACTTCCCAGTGCATCTCCATCCAGGTGGCCTCATGCATTGAAGATAACATACACATGGCCAGTAGACATGAAAAGAAGTTTAACTTTCTTATTAACCTGTAGGCAAATTGATGCAATGAGTTTTTTGATTCTCAGATATATAAGATAAAAAAATTTTTTTAAGATTTTGTGATAATAAAAATATGTGGTAATGGAAGTATAAATTGACACAAGAGATCAAACTTGGGTCAGTTTTAACTGACCTGGCAATTTCAGTCTGGAGGTTTGTCCTAAGGAGATAATCAGTTTTGCACAAAAACACAAATATATTTATTGTGGCATTATTATAGTGTGAAATTTGAGGGAAAGTGTATATGTCGGAATAATGCAAGCATTAAAAGTTGTTTTTAACATGGAAAGATGTTTATAATAAGTGCAAAAAGTACATACAGAATTATTTTATTTCTGCATCTTTAAATTTATATACACATGTGTATACAGTGAAGACACTGAAAAATCATGGATATATTAACATTATTTCTACCTGGGTGGTAGAATTGCAGGTGACTTTTTCTTATAGTGAGTGTGGTATAAGAGTTTTATAATCAGAAAAAATAACTATCCATTTTAAGATGGGTAAAGCCCTTCTATATTCTGAGAAAGCAACTAAAATTGCTAGCTACATGTCTTATCGTGTATTCGCATTCCACTTTTAGTTTTACGGTGTGATAAATTTATGTGGTCTATTTCACCATGCGTGACTCCTTTTTAGACTGCGACTAGTAATTTTATGGTTATCTAATGGGCTGTAAGACATAATTTACTAGTTAGAATTAAAAATATGTAGTTGTTGGTCTGTAGCTACTTTTTATTCTTGAGTCCTTGGTTAAAAATGGGATCTCTGGGACTTCCTAGGTGCTCCAGTGGTTAAGAATTTGCCTGCCAGTGCAGCAGACACTGGTTCGATCTCTGCTCCAGGAAGAGTCCACATAGCACAGGACAGCTAAGCCTGTGCGCCACAACTACCGAGTCCACACTTTAGAGCCCACAGGCCACACCTACTGAGCCCGAGAGCCCTTTAAGAATGGGATCTCCAACTACTATAACATTCCCCTCCGGAAGAATAACTGTTTCCTCAAATCTGCTTAAAGGAGGAATTTACAGTACATTGTAGAGAAAATGAGGATTACCTTTTATTCCAATTTTAAAGCCAAGGAAATAAATACCTAAGAGCTAGGAGCACTTGTAAAATTGATGAAAATTTGATTAGTATTCATGCCTTATCACGATGGGTAAAAATGTCAAGGCTGCATCAGGTCTCTCGCACATGGCACTACACAGAGGCCTGTGACAGCACCAGCCCCAGGATCATGGGGGGGACTAAGCAGTTCTCCCTCACATCAGAGGGATGCAGCTCTCAGAGCCCGTGGACCCCACAGAACGGGAGGGCCAGCCAGGTACTGCCGACGCCGGGCTCACTTCTGGACCACGGCTGAATCTCAGATGTCCACAGTTCTCACAGGGAGCATCGCCACCAAAGCTTATATACTGGTTTTCTTCTGTCACCACTCACAGGATAAGTCCCTCTTATCATCTGTTCTTTTTTTTTTTTTTGCACTATCCTCGCCACATTACTCTATTTCTTCCTGTTGTTTCATTTCCAGTCTCTTCCCTTGTCCGGAACCTGTCCATGAAGCCCTTAGGAATTTCCATTCCATAATTAATGCACCTGTATCTTCAGCCTCTTCACTATCTCTTTGCCTTTGTTGCATGTAACCTGCTATCCCCTGAGAAGCTTATTCCCCTGCAGCTCTTTCAGGAAAAGCACATTTTTCAGGGTCAGGAGATCTTCCTGGTCATCAGTCCTTTTGTCCCCTACTACCATCTCCAGACCCCATGCAATATCCTCATTCCTCTGAGACTGCCATCCTTAAACCAGCTCCTGTCCTCTTGGTTGAAGATTTTGGCATGGTATAGAGCCTTCCACTCACTCTAGTTCCTGCCATCATCTTTAGTGGCTTCATAGTCCCATAATGCCAGCTCTGATCTCCTTATCCTTGTCCTCAATGATCTTATCCCCTCCACCTCAGCCAGCACACTCAGCAGATTATGCACTCTGAACCTTATTGACACTGAAAAATGCCCTTCCTCTAAAATTCACTAATTTAAGCATCCCATCTCTGTCCACAAACCCCTTTCTTCCTTACTTTCTTGTTCCTACCTCATTGGGAACTCCAGTTTATTGTCTCCTTCCTTTCTTCCAGCTTGTCCCCTTACCTTTCCTGGGTACCACAGTCCACTCCATAGTCTCCCCTCTTGCCTCTCTTAACAACCAAAATTCTAAGACTTGTCTTCTCTCTTTTATTTCTTGACTTCTTTTTTGTTTCATTGTTGTTTGTTTTATGCCACGTGGCATGCAGGATCTTACTTCCCCAACCAAGGACCAAACCTGTGCCCCTGCAATGGAAGTATGGAGCCTTAACCAGTGGACCATTAGAGAAGTCCATTTTCGTCTACCTCTGAACTGCTTTTCTGCCACCATCATATACAGCTCTACTCGTTTTATTGCCAATCATCTTATTGTACTTTGCATGTATTGCATTATCTCCAAGGTCTAAGCCGGTATTAAAACTACTCACTAAGACCACCAGTGACTTCAGTGTTACTAAAACTAGCAGACAAGTTTCTGTCCTTTGTGCCTCAGTGCTGTTTCTTCTGCCTAGAATTCTTTTCTTTCCTACCTAAGCCTGGTTAATTCTTGCTCACTTTATTAGTAAAATCACTTTCCCAGGAGAATATTTCCAGTCACTGCGTAGGAGCCCCAGACTACTGGGTTCTCAGGTCACAAAGTTTCACAGCACCATTTGCTTTTCCTTAGTAGCTCTTTTTTTGTTTGTTTTTTAAAATTTTTTGGCCACACCACCATACAGCTTGCAGGATCTTAGTCTTCGGACAAGGGATCAAACCCAGGCCCCTGACAGTGAGACCACCAAGTCCTAACCACTGTACCGCCAGGAATTCCCAGTAGTTACTTTTTTTTTTTCCCCAGTAATTACTTTTATAATTATTTGTTCTACCTTAGTCTAAGATCATGGCATCTGGTCCCATCACTTCATGACAAATAGATGGGGAAACAGTGGCTGACTTTATTTTTCTGGGCTCCAAAATTACTACAGATGGTGATTGCAGCCATGAAATTAAAAGACGCTTACTCCTTGGAAGGAAAGTTATGACCAACTTAGACAGCATATTAAAAGGCAGAGACATTACTTTGCCAACAAAGGTCTGTCTAGTCAAGGCTATGGTTTTTCCAGTGGTCATGTATGGATGTGAGAGTTGGACTATAAAGAAAGCTGAGCGCCGAAGAATGGATGCTTTTGAACTGTGGTGTTGGAGAAGATTCTTGAGAGTCCCTTGGACTGCAAGGAGATCCAACCAGTCCATCCAAAAGGAGGTCAGTCCTGGGTGTTCATTGGAAGGACTGATCTTGAAGCTGAAACTCCAATACTTGGGCCACCTGATGTGAAGAGCTGACTCATTTGAAAAGACCCTGATGATGGGAAAGATTGAGGGCAGGAGGAGAAAGGGATGACAGAGGATGAGATGGTTGGATGGCATCACCAACTCAATGGACATGAGTTTGGGTGGATGCCGGGAGTTGGTGATGGACAGGGAGGCCTGGCATGCTGCAGTTCATGGGGTCACAAAGAGTCGGACACAACTGAGCGACTGAACTGAACTGAACCTTAGTCTAGGCCATGTGGTCAGTGGGGGCTGGGATTTTATCATAGTCCTTGTATCTCTGCACAACAGTGCCTGACATGTCTGTCACATAGTGGATATTGACTTTATACCCTACCTATGTGGAAAGCACAAAATCTCTCTCCTCACCCTACCCAGATTTCAAATCCCTATGCGTCATGCACCAGACCTACTTTTGTTCAATTATGAGCCACTCTAGCAGGGCTCCTACTTCTCCAGGGCTCCTAGCTTCGTTTCTTGTGATACCCTCACAATCCCGAATTTAATTCTCATTGCTGTTATGTATATGATCGCTCATTTATTGCTTGTATTAAGGTTATCAACATGGATTATGGGATGGAAGACAAGAATCCTATTGATCATGTTCGCTTCTATTGTAAGAGTGACCTCAGCAAGGCAATCATGATTACTAGAGACCAGGTAACTACTTACAGTAGCATTTGGCAAATTTCTGTAGTAAAGTTGCATCTTAACATGCAGGTTAGGCTCTGAAGTCAATGTATACAGTTTTAAAAAAAGAAACAAACATATCTTTAAAATTAAAGTATACTTTATTTTCATACACTAGACCATCTTAACAGCCAGTTTTTCCTGTTTGTTAAACTTGAAGAAAGCTCTGTTTTTTGGTTTAGAAGGTAATTTATAAGTCTGGTGGGACAGGAATATATGGTTGAAGTCATCTAAGTTAAATGTGCTTATTTGTATATCTTCTGTGAGAGAGTCTGTAATCTTCATATAATTATATCATACAAATCTTTTATCTTTTATTAATGGGCATAAAATTATGGGACATCTTGCAGTATGACAGTTACCCTGAATTCTTTTCTTTGGATTATCATTGGGATAAAATACCAAAACAACATGGTGCGTTTAATATCACATCAAGCATGGAGCTTAGGAACAGCGGATCTCTCTTCAACGTGTAAATTTAAGGTGACAGTGAAATCTTTCCTTCTTTAAAAAGGTTTCTCAGTTTTTGCCAGGGAGATTTGCTGAGCAGCTGATTCGAGTTTACTGTAAGAAGACAGATGAAAAGACTCTGTTTGCTGCACGACAGCATTTCGTCCATTGGTGTTTAATCAATGACTTCACCAAGCCACAGGTGGGTGACTTATTATTCACATACATCACGGAAATTTTTAAGTAAAAACCACAAGCAATGTTTACTTCCCTCTGAAAAGTTCTCATTTAAATGATGGTCGTTTGATGAACTTATTTACAAGACAGAAACAGACTCACAAACTTAGAGAACAAACTTATGGTTGCCATGGGTGAAAGATAGGGGTGGGCAGGAATAGTTAGGGAGTTTGGGGTTGACATGAACACACTGCCGTATTTGAGATGGATAACCAGCAAAGACGCAGGACCTTCTGTATAGCACAGGGAACTCTGCTCAGTATTATGTAACAACTTAAATGGGAAAGGAATTTGAAAACAAATAGATAACATATTTGTGTATAACTGAATGACTTTGTTGTACACCTGAAACTGACAGAACATTGTTAATCAACTGTACTCCAATGTAAAACAAAAAGAAAATAATAGTCATTTGACTTGATTTGGGGGGAAAAAAGTTTTTCCACATTGAGCTTCCCTTTTAATCTTTTGATTTAATTATTTTTAAAATTGGAGTATAACTGCTTTACCATGCCGTGTTAATTTCTGCTGTATAACGACGTGAATCAGCTCTGTGTAAACATAAATCCCGTCTCTCTGGAGCCTCCCTCCCACTCACCCCCACTGCACCCCTCTAGGTCATCACAGAGCACGGAGCTGAATTCCCTGTGCTATGCGGCAGCTTCCCGCTAGCTATCTGTTTTACAGCCTGGTAGTTTCACCAGTCATTTTATTGTACTTTGCATGTATTGCAACATCTCCAAGGTCTCAGCCTGTATTAAATCTACTCTCAGTAAGACTACAAGTGACGTCAGTGTTACTAAAACTAGCAGACAGGTCTCTGTCCTTTGTGCCTCAGAGCTATTTCTTCTGCCTGTAATTCTTTTGTTTCCTACCTACACCTGGCTAATTCCTGCTTACTTTATTAGTAAAATCACTTTCCCAATGCTGAGTAAACTCAATGTTCCCAAACTTGTAACCTATTTAAACTTACTAGTTGCCAATCCCATAGAGAATGTTGTTGAAATGGTCCTTTATTGACCTGCACATGGTGGATGCCTAGCACAGAGAACATGACCAATTGATAGTTGTTGATTGAACAAATGATTGGTAGGTAGGTTGGAAACAGCGTTCTGCTTCCTGGTCTAGTACTGTCTCTCACAGCACCCTACCTGCTTTTCCCCCCAAGCATTGGATACTGAATGAAACAAAAATGAAAGGTTAGATGTGAAAGAGTAGCCCAGTATATCAGATCTTTGTCAAATGCCAGAGGGAGGGACACAGGGAAGTCTTTTAGTATTCAGGGTTGAGAGAGCTGTCAGGTAGGAAGAAGGATTCTTCTAGATCCAAAAGCTGGATTGTGTTTGGATAAGTAGCAGAGAGAAATGAGAGCTACACAAAATTGAAACTGGAACAAGTCGGGTGTGTTTGGGAGCTATGAAGACATAGCTATGAAGCTATGGTCTGACTGAAGGAGAAAAGTCTTATTGTTGAGGTGACGGGAATCAGAAAAAATCAGCTTGATTGTGGAAAAGCACTGAAAATCAGCTACAAAGGGTTATTCTTATGCACAGTGGGGAGGGAATTGCCGAGAGTATTCAGACTTACCATGCTGCTATAATTATTTTCTTTTAACAATTTTATTTATGTATTATTTAATTTTATTAATTTAATTTTTGCTGCACTGGGCCTTCATCGCTGTGCACAGGCTTTCTCTAGTTCCAATGAGCAGGGGCTGCTCTTCATCACAGTGCACAGGCTTCTCATTGCAGTGGCTTATGTTGTGGAGTGCAGGCTCTTGGTGCACAGGCTTGTGCTGGACAAGCTCAGTAATTGTGGCTCACGGGCTCAGTAGTTGTGGCTCACGGGCTCAGTAGTTGTGGCTCACAGGCTCTAGGACACGGGCTCAGTACCTGTGGCTCACAGGCTCTAGGACATGGGCTCAGTAGTTGTGGCTCACAGGCTCAGTAGTTGTGGCTCACGGGCTCTAGGACACGGACTCAGTAGTTGTGGCTCACGGGCTCTAGGACACGAGCTCGGTACTTGTGGCTCACAAGCTCTAGGACAAGAGCTCGGTACTTGTGGCTCACAGGCTCTAGCACACGGGCTCATTAGTTGTGGCTCACAGGCTGTAGGACACAAGCTCAGTAGTAGTGGCTCACAGGCTCTAGGACACGGGCTCAGTAGTTGTGGCTCACAGGCTCTAGGACACGGTCTCAGTAGTTGTGGCTCACTGGCTCAGTAGTTGTGGCTCATGTGCTCTAGGACACGGTCTTAGTAGTTGTGGCTCACAGGCTCTAGGCCACGGGTTCAGTAGTTGTGGCTCACGGGCACTAGGACACGGGCTCAGTAGTTGTGGCTCACGGGCTCAGTAGTTGTGGCTCACGGGCCCTAGGACACGAGCTCAGTAGTTGTGGCTCACAGGCTCTAGGACACGGTCTCAGTAGTTGTGGCTCATAGGCTCAGTAGTTGTGGCTCACAGGCTCTAGGACACGGTCTTAGTAGTTTTGGCTCACAGGCTCTAGGCCACGGGTTCAGTAGTTGTGGCTCATGGGCTCTAGGACACGGGCTCAGTAGTTGTGGCTCACGGGCTCAGTAGTTGTGGCTCACGGGCCCTAGGACACGAGCTCAGTAGTTGTGGCTCACGGGCTCTAGGACACTGGCTCAGTAGTTGTGGCTCACGGGCTCTAGGACACGGGCTCAGTACTTGTGGCTCACAGGCTCTAGGACACTGGCTCAGTAGTTGTGGCTCACGGGCTCTAGGCCACTGGCTCAGTAGTTTTGGCTCACAGGCTCTAGGACATGGGCTCAGTAGTTGTGGCTCACGGGCTCTATGACATGGGCTCAGTAGTTGTGGCTCACAGGCTCTAGGACACGGGCTCAGTAGTTGTGGCTCACAGGCTGTAGGACACGGGCTCAGTAGTTGTGGCTCACAGGCTGTAGGACATGGGCTCAGTAGTTGTGGCTCACGGGCTCTATGACATGGGCTCAGTAGTTGTGGCTCACAGGCTTTAGGACACGGGCTCAGTAGTTGTGGCTCACAGGCTGTAGGACATGGGCTCAGTAGTTGTGGCTCACGGGCTCTAGGACACGGGCTCAGTAGTTGTGGCTCACAGGCTTTAGGACACGGGCTCAGTAGTTGTGGCTCACAGGCTCTAGGACACGGGCTCAGTAGTTGTGGCTCACGGGCTCTATGACATGGGCTCAGTAGTTGTGGCTCACAGGCTCTAGGACACGGGCTCAGTAGTTGTGGCTCACAGGCTTTAGGACACGGGCTCAGTAGTTGTGGCTCACAGGCTGTAGGACATGGGCTCAGTAGTTGTGGCTCATGGGCTCAGTAGTTGTGGCTCACGGGCCCTAGGACACGAGCTCAGTAGTTGTGGCTCACAGGCTCTAGGACACGGTCTCAGTAGTTGTGGCTCACGGGCTCAGTAGTTGTGGCTCACAGGCTGTAGGACACGGTCTTAGTAGTTGTGGCTCACAGGCTCTAGGCCACGGGTTCAGTAGTTGTGGCTCACGGGCTCAGTAGTTGTGGCTCACGGGCTCAGTAGTTGTGGCTCATGGGCCCTAGGACACGAGCTCAGTAGTTGTGGCTCACGGGCTCTAGGACACTGGCTCAGTACTTGTGGCTCACGGGCTCAGTAGTTGTGGCTCACGGGCTCAGTAGTTGTGGCTCACGGGCTCTAGGACACGGGCTCAGTACTTGTGGCTCACAGGCTCTAGGACACGGGCTCAGTAGTTGTGGCTCACAGGCTCTAGGACACGAGCTCAGTAGTTGTGGCTCACGGGCTCTATGACATGGGCTCAGTGGTTGTGGCTCACAGGCTGTAGGACACGGGCTCAGTAGTTGTGGCTCACAGGCTGTAGGACACGGGCTCAGTAGTTGTGGCTCACAGGCTGTAGGACATGGGCTCAGTAGTTGTGGCTCACGGGCTCTATGACATGGGCTCAGTAGTTGTGGCTCACAGGCTTTAGGACATGGGCTCAGTAGTTGTGGCTCACGGGCTCTAGGACACGGGCTCAGTAGTTGTGGCTCATGGGCTCAGTAGTTGTGGCTCACGGGCCCTCGGACACGAGCTCAGTAGTTGTGGCTCACAGGCTCTAGGACACGGTCTCAGTAGTTGTGGCTCACGGGCTCAGTAGTTGTGGCTCACGGGCTCTAGGACACGGTCTTAGTAGTTGTGGCTCACAGGCTCTAGGCCACGGGTTCAGTAGTTGTGGCTCACGGGCTCTAGGACACGGTCTCAGTAGTTGTGGCTCACGGGCTCAGTAGTTGTGGCTCACGGGCCCTAGGACACGAGCTCAGTAGTTGTGGCTCACGGGCTCTAGGACACTGGCTCAGTAGTTGTGGCTCACGGGCTCAGTAGTTGTGGCTCACGGGCTCTAGGACACGGGCTCAGTACTTGTGGCTCACAGGCTCTAGGACACAAGCTCAGTAGTTGTGGCTCACAGGCTCTATGACATGGGCTCAGTACTTGTGGCTCACAGGCTCTAGGACACGAGCTCAGTAGTTGTGGCTCACGGGCTCTATGACACGGGCTCAGTACTTGTGGCTCACACGCTCTAGGACACTGGCTCAGTAGTTGTGGCTCACGGGCTCTAGGCCACTGGCTCAGTAGTTTTGGCTCACAGGCTCTAGGACACGGGCTCAGTAGTTTGGGCTCACGGGCTGTAGGACACGGGCTCAGTAGTTGTGGCTCACGGGCTCTAGGACACGGGCTCAGTAGTTGTGGCTCACAGGCTCTAGGCCACTGGCTCAGTAGTTGTGGCTCACAGGCTCTAGCACACGGGCTCATTAGTTGTGGCTCACAGGCTGTAGGACACAAGCTCAGTAGTAGTGGCTCACAGGCTCTAGGACACGGGCTCAGTAGTTGTGGCTCACAGGCTGTAGGACACGGTCTCAGTAGTTGTGGCTCACTGGCTCTAGGCCACGGGTTCAGTAGTTGTGGCTCACGGGCTCAGTAGTTGTGGCTCACGGGCTCAGTAGTTGTGGCTCATGGGCCCTAGGACACGAGCTCAGTAGTTGTGGCTCACAGGCTCTAGGACACGGTCTCAGTAGTTGTGGCTCACGGGCTCAGTAGTTGTGGCTCACAGGCTCTAGGACATGTGCTTTGTAGTAGTGGTGCATGGGTTTAGTTCCTCTGTGGCATGTGGGATCTTCCTGCCTGGAGCAGGCATTGAACCCATGTCCCCTGTGTTGACAAGCAGATTCTTATCCATTGTACCACCTTGGAAGTCCCTACTGTAATTATTAATTACTTCTGGGCTTTTATCTCTAGCTAGACCTGTGGGAATAAGGAAGTATTTCCATCTTAAGAACTATAGCTTCTAAGGAGACTAAGCTCCTGATGAGGAAGGAAGACTCTAGCGACAGATAGACTGGCATGTGGAGAGACTGGAAACAGGGAGACTAGAGGCTACTCAAGTTCAGCTACTCAAGTTGGACCCTAGATCCAGATACATTCATTCAGGGAATGAGTGTTCCCCCAGGTCCTATGTCCAGGACCAGGAATGGAACAATACCTGAGACAGTTCCCGAGGGTCTCACTCTAGTTGGGGACAATAAAAACTTGAGTCAGTAATAATCACAGTAGTACGTAAGTACTTTGGGGTCGGAACAGTGTGTACAGTCTCAGAGGAGCAAAAAGGTGAAGGGTTTATGCCAGAGCTGGTTGGTTGGGAAAGACTTATTTAAAGAAGGACTTGGAAAGATTTCCCTGGTGATCCTGTGGTTAAGAATCCACCTGCCAATGCAGGGGACATAGGTTCAATTCCTGGCCTGGGAGGATCTCACGTGCCATGGGGCAAGTAAGCCCGGGTACCACAATTACTGAGCCAGTGCTCTTGAGCCCACACTCCACTAGAGAAGCCACCACAATGCGAAGCCCATACACTGCAACTAGAGAGTTGACCCTGCTCGCCACAACTAGAGAAAGCCCGTGGGCAGCAATGAAGACCCAGCACAACCAAAAATTAATTAATTTTTTTAAAAAGGGCTTGGAAGCTGAGACCTGAAGGATGGATGAGGAGTCAACTGCGTAAAGGGCGTGGGGGACTGGAAGGTGAGAGAGAATGAGGTGCATTTAGGGGTGAGATCTGGGCTCTGTGCATAGTCCTGTAAGCCAGGAGCCCCAGAGCAATGGGAGCCATTGGGGTGTTTTAAGCAGCAAAGTGACACAGTCAAGTCAGCGAGAGTCACGGCCACTGTACCCGACCAGAGGGCCCATAAGAGAAGCACCTTGACTTTTCTGCCCACCTCTCTTCCAGTCTCCCAGCAGTGCCTCCCACCAGCCCAACCTGACCAGAGGCCAGTAGGCAGGGGAGCTGGGGGATGTGGTTCACAAGAGTAGCTCCTGTTACGCAGAGCAGGGCAGAGGGAGGCGGAGAGCGGATCTGAGAGCAAGTAGGCATGTGAGGCCTACAGTGTTCTCTTCCTCGTGCAGTAAAGGCTCTGACAGTCCTGTACCCTCATGTAGCCTAGAGAATCTAGCCACGAGTTCAAGAACAGTTCAGGATAGAGTCAGGCGTTGGAGGGCCTAGCTTCTTAGACTCGTTGGTTTCTAGTCGTAGTGTCGCTTCACTTCGACACCAACCCTCATTTTGGGTGGAGTCTAGGAAGCTGAGGCCAAAGTGACAGCTTTGATTATGGAGCAAAGGTCAAGTTCCACAGGTACACACTACCTTACCCTCTTTTTGCCATCTAATAGACCTGGGCCATTTGTTACAGGGGAGACTAAGAAAGAGGGTCCAGCAAGGATCTAGCACATTCCCTCTTTCCCTGGAAAACGAGGGCAAGGTGCGTCCCCGGAAGCTGCGTGGAGGGACGGGGTCTCCGAGCCGGGCCACGTGCTGCTTCTGGCCGTCTTTGAAAAGAACCGGTGTGGTAGCTTTTGCTCAGAAAGCTCGTCCCATCCCAGGACCGAGTGTCTCTAAATTAAGCATGTACACTGTCCGGGGTTTCCCACGAGTAAGTCTGTCCAGAAGCAGGCTGTCTGCAGGACGAGGATATGTGTGCCTGTAACATTCACTCAAAACCATGAGAACTGGCTTTTTTCTCTATTCCTAGTTACTCTTTCTTTGACAGGATGGTGACGTTGTAGCCCCGCTTATAACACCTCGGAAATTGGAGTGGAATACAGCTGGCATCCAGGAAGGGTCCAAAGTCAAAACCCAGCTTTTCCCAGATGACTCGATGTGAATGTCTGCACTTTCTGTTTACAAAAAGCCCCTGCCCATCCCCTTTCCCTCCTCCCCCAGCACAATTAATTTAGGGAATTTGGTCACAGAGGTCTGCAAATGGAGTGACAGCTAGTGCTTTATATTTTATATCTTGAATGTACGCACATACTAAGTCATTTTTATCTAGAGGAACAGGTATTAGGCAGACCTTATTAACATGAGCTATGGAAAGCACAGCCTTGCCTCTTTTTAATATTAATCAAAGTCTTTCTTCTTTAGCAGTCTATTTTCTTAGAATTAACAGCTTTTTAAAGTACTTTGAACTCTATGACATTATAGTGTTTTTTAAAAAAAATTGGATATAAGACAAAGGCACACACTGGAATTTGCAGTTGGGGTTGTCATGAACAGCCATGGTTAAAAACAGAATGTGAAACCCCAGCCCTCTGAGGAGGTGCCCGTCATCCTGAATTTGACGCTAGCTTTCCTTGAGTGGATTGCAACATTAGTGAAAGGCACCTCCCCTCACCCTTTTAGCCCCCCATAAACTGCCAGGTTGGGGTCAACAGTACAGGAGGGCCACGAAGGGGCTCCAGCTCTTCAATGAGAGGCCTGATTGATTTGTTGAAAAGATCTGAGGGTGCTGGCCTCCTCCGAAATGGGACATAAAACTGCCTTACAGGAGACCCCCTAGCTCCAGTAGCAGAGGGACTCCCCAAACCAGGCTGTCCCCTGGGTCAGCTGTGGCTCCAGCCCATGTGGGTTTCTTTCTCTCCTGAGTGCTCACTGCCCATGCCCTGAGGGTTCCACCACTGCCCAGCCTGGAGAAAGCAGCTCCCGTCCCCCTGACCTCTGCCTCTCGCTTAGGTGCTGATCAGAGGCCATCATAGGAACCGTCCTCAAGGCTGCTCAGAGCTAGGACTTAATTTTTGCCAGTTCAGTGCATTTGATGAGTTTCAGGGCAAAGACTGGCTGCCTATGCTGAGACAAAGTGATTTACCCAGTGAATTCCAGGTTCCCCTTTGTGTCTCTACCTCCAGCAGTGGAGTGGCCACCACTGTGGTTGAGCAGTGCTCCTGAGCTAAACAGAGTCTGGAGTTAGAGCCAAGTCTGGAGGCTGCCAGAGGCAGGGCTGTGGGGAGTGCAGTTGTGAGCCCCTGACATCTTGTACTTCACCACGCCCTTACAGAAGCCTCCCTGGCAGCCTAGGCGTGGGGAGCTAGCCTTGGCTCTGGGTCAGAGCAAGAGGGAGCGGGGAGGAGCTCAGACTGCAGGGCAGCAGATCACCCCCAGCATCTTGGGGGTGCTGCCACCGTCCACTGTGTAACCAGGTACTCCTCTGTTGACACAGGGTGACAAGCATTTGGAATGTCTGCTGTTCTGCTCTGTCACCCCCTCCCACCCCCAGTAGATAATCGAGTTGACCCTAATTCCTAGAGTAGTTAAAACCGTGCTCCTCTCCCACCACAGTGCTGTGTGATGGGGATGTGGATACAGTGGGCTCCTAGAAGCCCAAAGAAAGTGGTCATGGTACCAGGTCATGTCTGTTTTGGCCACGGTGCTTCCAAAACGTCCAGTGGGGAGAATCCTCCACCTCAGACTTCATGTGTCCAGGCCCAAGGTCAAGAATGTATTATTTCTCTGCAAAGATTGTTTGATTTTTGCCACTCCTCCATTTACATGATTGTTTTACTCTGGAAGTTTGTCATCTCAGAGTGTAACATTGTGCTCTCTGAGGAACCACTTGAATCTGTTTTGTTTGCATCTTTTGTTACTTTTTGGCAGCTGCACTTTATGCTCTTTGCAACTGTTTTAATTATGGGAACCACATGCCATTGACAAGGTTAAATTTTTCTTAAGAAGCATCTTCACTATTGGTATAAAAAGGGAGCCTTTAACAGCTTGGCATCTAGAGTTACTGAGCTTTGTCACCTTGAGAATGTAAATAAGACTGCAGGTTCAAGTGCCTGGTCGCTTCATCCTGGTGAGGGAAACAGATGCAATAAAGCTTCATGAATGTACCTCTGTCTTGAAATCAGTGGTGTCTTCCTCAGTGACTTTCACACTCGTGTGCCCGGTTTTGACCCTTTTGTGCAAAAGAACTGTGTTTGGTCTAGGAATGTGCCCAGATGTTTCTTTATACCTCAGTACCGTGTTGGGTCTTCCAGAGGGGGGTTTTAACAGGGCCTATGATACTTGGTTTTCCTCTTTCAATAATGGCAAGTAATGACCTGATAAAAAATCTTATTCTGTCAGGAGGCAGGCACTAGCATGGGGAAGGTTATGGATTTTTTTTTTATTTTTTAGTTTTTCTAAGTTCCTCTTTTGCCAGAAAAAATATCCTTCCTTTTTTTAAATCTCCCTGACATTTTCATCTACAGAATTTCAGCTTCTTTACCCAAATGTGCATATCGTTCATTGGCTGCTTTCATATTTTCCTTGTGGAATTAAATAAGAGGTCTTCAAGTACCCAGCACAGTGGTAGCAGACTGGTCAGTTTTCTGAGAAACGAAGAATGCTATTTTGGAGTCTTTATTAATTTCACTGGTTGAGTTAGGTGTCTGTGGTTTGACAATACTCTTTAAATTAAAATACTGTCCAAAGCATATAGAGAAGAATCCCATTTTTTAAGAATCCCATACATCTCCTTGGAAAACTGTCTGGAAGGATATACATGAAAACGTAAGTGTTTTAGGGGGTGGTTGAATTTTAGGCAATTTTAATTTTTTTATATCTTCTGGTTTTTCTACAATAAACATGCATTAACTGTGTACTCTCTAAAAGGATCATTTTCCTGCAGAATTTTATGGTGCTTGGGTGAGGTATAACTGTCTTTTATTCCCTCAGATCCCCTCTCTAGTAGAATGTGGCCTGGCTCCACACCTATCTTGGTCCTTAGGCGACGGAGGCTGCTCTCAGCCACAGTCCACACTGGACACCTCACCATCTGTGTTTCGGACGGAACGGGCCGCCCTGTGTGAGCGCGGCCTCGATGGCATCCGGGGGCAGGTCTGAACGCCTGTGGCCTCAGGAGGCTGCCCGCCACGGCGTCAGCTCAGGACCCAGGCCTCCACCTCACTGATGCAGAACTGCTCCTGCCGGGCCAGCACCTCATTGTTGAAGGTCGCACAGGGGTGGCTCCCCCCGCGGTACAAGTCTCCATCCAACCACAGCCCAAAGCGGCCACTAAAGAGAGGAGAGTCTTGGCACTGTCCCTCTAGCACCCTTCAGACCTGCCCCAGCAGCCCTTGGCCACGCCATGACTGCTCTGCCTTAGTCTCATCTCCTCTGAAACCAGTTTGTCCCAAATTGTTAAGGACTCACACATTGCCCCTCACAGGGTTTCAAGCTTTTTTGTTTGTTTGTTTTACAGTACAATGATTTTGATAAATATATACAGTGGAGCAGCCATCACCACAGACCAGTTTTAGAACCTTCAGAACATTAAGATGGCAATGCCTTAGCCAAAGGAGGGACTCTCATAAGCTTTGACTCCAGGCCCAGAATACATCAGACCAGGGCATCCATTCTAGTTCCCTCTTTTGACAGCAAACCTAGGCTAGAGCTGGGAAGTGGGTTATTGCAAATTGGCAGTGGCTGGTGGGGTCTGTGTCAGCCTGCCTCTCTGTGGAGGCTATTCAGGCAGCTGGGAGAGCAAAGAACTTGCCTGGTGCTAATCAAGCAGCTGTCATCTGTGCCCTCAGGATAAGACTGACTGTACCTGAATATGCAGGTCACACCAGAGGCGAGACTGACCTTGTAAAACACTCCACTTCCCACCCCCAACACACACCAGGTTCTGGGCAGATGCCTGCCTTCCTCCAGTGAGTTCTGTTCCCTATGTTTATGGAGCTGATTGACAGGTAGTTTTGGGGTTTGACTTTAGCCTCATCCAACCATATGGAGTGCTGTTCTCAAAGTTACATAAATTCAGCCTAAGCTGTCACCAACTAAACACTTTAGGGGAGACGTCATGCCATCCTCTCCTCTCAGTATCAACTTAGAGCAGAGTTTAGGGGGTTGGCTGGGGGCCAGGCAGTGCCACAACACCTATTGAGGGGGGCTCCCCCATTTTGTCTGGGGTAGCCTAACCCAGCCTTTCCAGACAGGGGAAAGGACCAGAGTACAGACCACCTCGAGACTCAAGACTGGGGAAGACTAGGACACGCACCTGCCACTGCCCATCATCAGAGAATCCAAGTCGCCTTTCACAAAGAAAGAGTTGCTTCCAGTCCACTTGAAGACCTGCGATAAGAAACCTCCAGTTATTGGCGGAGTCCTGCTCCTGCAGTTTTACTCTGGACCACTGGGTGGCAGTGTGGTGAAGGAAACAAATTCCAATCCCCAACTAAGGCACTGGCGCTACCCTTGGATCCTAACTCCAGTTTCTCTCAGTCTCCCTGGAGTTCACCTCCTCTTGCCCTCCAGTCTGAATTCCCACAGCCCAAAAGCCCTTCTGTTCTAGGAATAGACCAGAACCCTCTGAGGCTTCCTGCTTCCGAAGCTGGAGAGAGGAGGGGAAAAGTCCACATCAGGAGCCAGGCCATGATTCTACTATTAACTGCTTCCTCCTCTCACTGGAGTTAACACAGCTTGCACAGCCTCGGTGCTATTTCACACCCAACAAGTTGCAAGCCCCACCCCAAAGAGACACCCTGACTACCACCAGTTCTGTCCCCGCCAGTCACTCCTTCCTGGATCACAGCCTCCTGATGGGTCTCTGCTTCCTCTGTCTCCTGCCCCGAAGCCCACGTCTGCTCTGCAGTAAGTGAGCTATTCAAAACTAAATCAGGGACTCCCTTGAGGGGTTCAGCGGTATAGAATCCACCTGCCAATGCAGGGGACACGGGTTCAATCCCTGATCCGGGAAAATCCTACATGCTGTGGGCAACTAAGCACCTGGAGCCGGTGTTCCCCAACAAGAGAAGCCTGTGCACCGCAACTAGAGAGTAGCCCCTGCTTACTGCAAGTAGAGAAAGCCTGCGTGCAGCAACAAAGAGTGAGCATAGCCAAAAATTAATTATTTTTAAAAATCAAATTGGATATTAGCCCTCCTCTGCTAAAGCTCTCCAATGGCCCTGACAATGGGAATAAAATTCAGCATCTAACTAAAGCCGAAAGCCCAGCATGCTCTGCCCTGATTTTCTCTCCGACCTCTTTCCCCCTTTACCGCCTGCTCTTCGTCTACACTGACCCTTTTGACCCGGGACACCTGAAGCTATTGCTGCTGCAGGGTCTTGCTGACCCCTCTGCCCAGAATGCTCTTCCCCCAGATCCTCAGAAGGCTCACTTCTCAGCTTTTGGATGAAATGTCATCCCAGAGAAATTTAAAGTAGCCCTTCCTTCCAGGCCCTGTTCAAGTGACAATATGCCCTGCTAACATGTAAGTTCCATGAAGGCTATCTTGATTCTGGCAATATTCCCGAGACATGGTGTAGATGTTTGTTAAGTGAACAAATTATTCAGGAGTCAATTTAGGACTTCCCTGGTGGTCCAAAAGTTAAGGATCCGCCTGCCAACACAGGGGAAACAGATTCGATCCCTGGTCCAATAAGATCTCACATGCCACAGAGTAATTAAGCCCACACACCGCAACTACTGAAGCCTGCCCTAGAGCCTGTGCTCAGCAACAAGAGAAATCACTGCAATGGGAGCCCGAGCACTGCAACTCAAATGCAACTAGAGAGTAGGCCCCGCCCGCTGCACCTGGAGAAAGCCTGAGTGCAGCAATGAAGACCTAGCACAGCCAAAAATAAATAGAAAACTATTTTTTAAAAGTTTAGCTAATAAAAAGATTTTTAAAGGGCTGCAAAAGTATAGCCTATGATTGCCTGTAATTGGTTGCAAAAAATTCTCTGAGCAACCAAAGGGTTTTTAGCAAGAAAATGGACTAATCAAAGATAAGACCTGGGCTCAGAAGAGATGAGATAATATTAACAAGTGACCACGAGAAGACAGAACCATGCAACTCCTCCTCTACTTTCCTCAAGGAACGTGACCTTCAGACTTGCAGGAGGAAGATAAACACTGCTACAGAAAAAATTAAGTAGATGTTCATGGTGCTTCTTGGAATGAGGGTCAAGGAACTGCTGGGAATTCATGAAGAATGCAGATGCCAGAAGACCAAAGACAGACAAAAATTAACCAATTTTTTGAAAAGATGAGATTCCATAATAATAGCCTGGGAAGACTATAGCAATTGCCTGAAAAGAAAAAAATCATCCCATTCAAGAGTTTGTTTTGTTTTATTTTTTGCATTTAGTACAAGGCACTGTTTTAGGTACTGGATAGACCAGTGATGTAACAGACAAAAATTCCTGCCCCCTAGGACTCCCACTCTAGTGGCAGGAGGCAGGTAAATAAGTAAAATAAATAGTGTGTTAGCTGTGACAAATTCTTAGGAGAAAGAAGTAAAGAAGGGCACTAAGAGTTTCCAGCGGCTGGAGTGCTGTAAATGTAAACAGCAGGGAGGGTCCTGCCGAGAGGGTGACATCTGAGCAGAGTCCTGAAGGAAGTGAGAACTTGACTCATACAGAGATCCTGTGGAGGGAACCTTAGGGAGAACAGCATGTTTAAAGGCCCTGAGGTAGGAACAAGCTTGCTTGTTTAAGAACAAGCTCCGAGGTCAGTGTAGGGAGAGGGGAAATAGCAAGAAATGACTTCAGAGAGAGTCCAGAAGATGCAGACTCGTAGGTTATTTTAAGGACTCTGGGGACTTGTCTGGTGGTCCAGAGGTTAAGAATCTTACTGCCAATGCAGGGGATGTGAGTTCATTCCCTGGTCGGGGCGCTAAGACCCCACATGCCTCGGTGCAACTAGTGAGCCTGTGTCGCCACTACAGAGAAGCCTGTGCACCACAGTGAAAGATCACACGTGTCACAACCAAGACCTGGTACAGCCAAATAAATAAATACAAACATATTCTGAAAAAAGACTTTGGCTTTTCTCTTAGGGAGAAAGGAAGCCATTGGTAGCTTGGAGCCAAGGAGTGATATGTTCTGACTTCATTTATTTTAAATATTTATTTGGCTGTGGCTCGGCTGAATCTTAGTTGCATCATACGGGATCTTCAGTTGTGGCATGTGAGATCTAGTTCCCTGACCAAGGATCGAACCTGGGTCCCCTGCAGTGGGAGCTCAGAGTCTTAGCCACTGGGCCACCAGGGAAGTCCTTGACTTACCTTTTAAAAGGCTCCCTCCAGGTACTGTGATGACTGAAGGTGGAAGCATTAGGAGGCTATAGCAGGGACACGGGCAAGTAGTGATGGTGGCTTGGACCAGGGTGACAGCAGAAGACATTGTGAGAAGTGGTAGATTTTGGGTAGAGATGGAGGAGGAAGAACCATCAGGATTCGTTGACAGCTCATCAGATGTAGGGTGTGAAAGAAGCGTTACGAAGGGCTCCAAAATTTTGGTCTCAACGGCAGGAAAGACAGAGGTGCCATTCACTTTGTCAGGGAAGATGGCAGGAGGGACCAACTTTCTGGGAGAAAGTCAGATCAGCTTGGCAAAACCCCAGTCGTGGTTGGACCCTCCCATCCACGCTGTCTGTGCTTGAACCTGACTAGCTGAGAGTTGCTAGAGGAAAGGAACACACAACACAGGAACCGGCCCCGGGACTTCTGTGGTGGCCCAGTGGTTAAGAATCCTCCTTGCAGTGCAGCAGATATGAGTTCTATCCCTAATCAGGGAACTAAGATCCCACCTACCACTGAGCAACTAAGCCCGTGCGCCACAACACTGAGCCTGCCCGCCCTAGAGCCTGTGCTCCAAAACAAGAGAAGCCGCCGCGATGAGAAACCCAAGCACCCAGGCTAGAGAGTGGCCCCTGCTAAGCCACCACTAGAGAAAGCCTCACACAGCAATGAAGACCCAGTGCTGTCATAAATAAATACAAATTCTTGAAAAGACCAAAAAAAGAAAAAAAGCATCACCTTCAGTTGTGGAGAGAAGGAGAAGAGGAAGGTCTCGCCAGTACCGTAGAAGCCTTTGCTGAGTCGAAGGGCCGAGGAGGAAAAGGCGCCAAACATCTCGAAGGAAGAGTTTGTAGTTTGCAGCTGGAAGGGAGCTGGAGATCCCCTTCAGGCTGGGGAGTCTGGGGCAGAGCTGGGGGACAGAGGGGCCCCCGGGGGCCCATCAGCCCTTAGTGGCAGCCCTCCCCCCAGCACCCCCAGCACAGCTCACCTGGCCGTCCTGGTCTCTCAGCACCAGCAGCACCGGCCCACTGTGGCCCTCCATCTGCCTGTACAGGCTCCGCAGACTGAAGCCGTCCCTCGACGTGCAGAAGGCCAGCCTCCAGGAGTATCCAGTGACTCTCGGCGGCAGGTGGAGACTAAGCTGGGGACAGAGCAGAGGGTGAGCGAGGGCTCCCAGTCTCCCCACCTTCCTTGCTCCGTATCCTTGGGGTCCCAGGAGGACTAAGGTTAAACAGCCACCCCTCATCCAAGCCTGTGCTTTACAGGTTCAGTTCAGTTCAGTCGCTCAGTCGTGTCCAACTCTTTGCGACCCCATGGACTGCAGCACGACAAGCCTTCCTGTCCATCACCAAATCCCGGAGTTTACTCAAACTCATGTCCATAGAGTCGGTGATGCCATCCAACCATCTCGTCCTCTGTTGTCCCCTTCTCCTGCCTTCAATCTTGCCCAGCATCAGGGTTTTTTCCAGTGAGTCAGCTCTTCACATCAGGTGGCCAAAATATTGGAGCTTCAGCTTCAGCATCAGTCCTTCCAATGAATATTCAGGGTTGATTTCCTTTAGGATTGACTGGTAGGATCTCCTTGCGGTCCCAGGGACTCTCAGGAGTTTTCTCCAACACCACAGTTCAAAAGCATCCATTCTTCGGCGCTCAGCTTTCTTTACAGTCCAACTCTCACATCCATACATGACTACTGGAAAAACCATAGCTTTGACTAGACGGACCTTTGTCAGGAAAACTTTATAAGTCACGGAGCACCTCCATGTTTCCAGGGGGCACCATGGAAACAGCAATGAGCAGAAGCCCTCAGAGAAAGGGATTACTGTTCCCATTTTATAGATGAGGAAGCTGAGGCTCAAGGAGATGAAGCAACTTGCCTGAAGCCCCCATGGGGAGGAAGTGGCAGAGCCAGGATTTGAACCCAGGTCAGGCCCATCATGGCCCCTAGCAACCAGAGAATAGATAAGATACTGACTGCCTCCTCCTAACTCCCCATCTCATCCTTCCATTCCCACCCCAGCTTTGGCCTCAGTTCCCAAGGACTGGTTCCGTTTAAAGAGTCAGATTAGTTCACCATATCCTTAACCTCCTGGCGCCATGAAGAAGGTGGTGCTAGGATTACTGACTCATTTTACCAGAAAAGCCCCGCGAGGAGAAGTGAGTTGCCCAAGGTGACACAGTGAGCAGAGGACGGAGCAGGAGGGACCCCAGGCGTCCCTGGGCCTGGCTGGGGTGGGGCAGGACTGAAGGCTTTGTACCATGGACTGTGCCCGAACCTGACTCATCTCCGAGGCTCCCAGAACCTGGCTGGCTCCTGCCAGCTGGGGCGCCACGGGGCATTCAGGAACCGGAGCTGGAGCTGGGGTTGTCTCCTCCTCCTTTTCTTCCTCCTCTTCCTTGTCCTCCTCCCCAGACAGAGCATCCTCCACCTGGCTGGGCTGTAAAGACACACAGAGGCCTGGTGAGTTGAGAGACAAGGAGACACGAGCTTCCACACATCCAGGGCCTGAGAGCCTTGGCCATCTTATCACCCCTGCCCGGGCCCCTGCCAGTCCAGCCGGAGGAGGCTGTGAAGTGTCCACGACAGGCCAGACCCTGTCCTTCCCGCCAGCCAGCTCCCTCCCTGGCCCCTTCCAACTACACCCACCGGATGTGGCCTTGAGCCCCTGAGGTTTTGTCTGCCTGGTTGCTCTGGATCCAGAGTGGATGCCAGGGATTGTGTTCTAAGCTTGGGAGGCAGGAGAGAAGGACAGGCAGCAGCTCCCAAACTGTGTGCACTTGTACATGAAATAACAATAATAATAATACAATAGTGGCTGAATATACAGTAAACAGGACACACTTGACTAGGCCCGTGTGAAATGCTTGGTGAGCATAATCTCTGAATTTTCCCAAGAATCCTAAGAAGAATGTGCTCCTATTTTTTTTTTTTGGCTGTGCCACAAGGTTTGCAGGATCTCAGTTCCCCAACCAGGGATTGATCCTGGACCCTCCACAGTGAAAGCATGAAGTCCTAACCACTGGACCACCAGGGAACTCTCCAGAGTAGGCTTTTTATTACCCCCATGTTATTATCCCAAAGGAAGAAAGAAGGCCTTTTGAGGTGGTGAAATGTTTCTCATGGGTGAGACAGTGCACAGGTTCATATAAAATGCGCATTTAGGGCTTCCCTGGTAGCTCAGTGGATAAGAATCCACCTGCCAATGCAGGAGACACGAGTTTGATCCCCGGCCCAGGAAAATCACACATGTCGAGGAGCAGCTAAGCCTGTGTGCCAAGACTACCAAGTCTGTGCTCTAGCACCCGGGAGCCACAACTGCTGAGCCCGTGTGCTGCAACTACTGAAGCCTGTGTGCCCTAGAGCCCGTGCTCCGCAGCAAGAGAAGCCACTGCAATGAGAAGCCTGTGCACCACAACCGGAAAGTAGCCTCTGTTTGCCACAACTAGAGAAAAGCCTGTGCAGCAATAAAAACCCAGCATAGCCAAAAATAAAAGTAAATAATAAATGCCTCGATAAAAAAAAATGCACATTTGTGTGAAGGTGTGTGATGTGTTGGCTTAAAATAGAGTTGTGTAGGCAAGTCAGTGTGAGGTGTTGAATGCAACTTTGTATGTTACCTTTCAATATGTGGGTGGGTATGAGCTGGGATTGTGTTATATGTGAGTGTCAGTGGGCATGTATGTTAGTGTGTTCATTCATTCATTCATTTAATCACTGAGCTGCCTCTCTGTACCAGAGCGTGCACATGATGCCTGCACACAAGGACTTTGGGGCTTTTCATCAGGAGAGATCTCTTTGGGGAGAAGAGATGGACAGGACACTGCTTTCCTATTCTCCAGGTTCAGGCCTACAGAGGGAGTCCTAACTGGACAGGCTTCTGGACCGAGCTCCATCTGGCACCCACTCCATGCTCCTTGAGGGTCCCGGAACCACAGGGCTGGGCGCTAAGGCCCCAGGTTCCTGAATCCTTGCTTTGAACCCTGGGTCAGCTGGGGAGGGCCTCGGAAGGGGGACACCCAGCTGTATGCACCCTGGCCCATGTCCCACCCAGCCAGAGATCTCGCCTCCCCCGCCTTTCCTGACCGACCCCCAGCCCCAGCCCCAGCCCCAGCTGGGCCTCTTACCAGCCGAGTGTAACGCCAGCGGAGACTTTTCATTCTTCTGTCTGAGCTCAGCCAGGGGCAGTAAGTAAGCCTTCAGCCTTGCCAGGGAGGAGGCAGCGTTGGGTGAGACCTGGAGATGAGAGGGAGGGGCCTGGGGCACACCTGGCTGGCTCCACGCCCACCCAGCTGCCCTTTGCTCTCTCACCTGTCGTCACTCCCAGGCCAGCTTGTCCCTGAGTGGGTCTGTGAGGTCAGCTGTGCTCGGCATTCAGGGCCATACTTGTAGTTAGCAACTAATGCAAGTTAGCCATAAATTCTAGTTGTAATTCAGGCCCATAGACTGTAACATTTGCGCAGCTGCCTGAGCCCCAAACTGGGGATCTGGGGCCTCTACTTCCCTTTATGATCTTGCATAAGTGCTATGCCCTATGCACTTATGTGGGCCTCAGTTTCCCCACATGTGACATGTTGGACCAGGTTGTCTCAGAGGCCCTCACAAGACTGACAGCATGCAATTCAGTTTTCTCTCAAAGCCATTATAACAGAAGCTTGAAAAGGGCCAAGCTAGACCAAAAGAACAGATTTTTTTGTAAAAAAAAAATACTCATTTTTCTAATTAAAAGAGCAATACATATTTACTATAGGAAATTTGAGAAATTTAAAAAAGAATAAAGAAAAATACAAAAATATTCATAATTCCACCTCTCAGAAATAAACTCTCAACCCCTACAGGTTTATTTTTCCATCTTTTATAATTTCACATATATGTCTATACATACATTTATGAGTAGATCATACAGTGTGTTGCTTTATAAGGTGCTTTGTCAAGCTTAACAAAAGAAAAATTTCCAATTACATTCATTACCCTTTGAACATGTGATTTTTTTTTTAAATGTATTTATTTATTTTGGCTGTGCTGGGCTTTGGTTTCAGCACACGGGATCTTTTTTTGTTTATTTCATGTGGGCTCTAGTTCCCTGACCAGGGATTAAACATGGGCCCCCCACATTGGGAGCGTGAAGTCTTAGCCACTGGACCACCACGAAAGTCCCTTGAACATGTGATTTTTAATGGCTGCATATTATTTCACCACAGGATGTACATCATTTCTCAAAATGTTTGACATTCTGTTTGCTTATAATTTTCTGTGATTATAAACAAAATTATAATAAACTTCCTTGTTCATAAATCTGATTATATTTTTTATGATAAATTTCAGAAGTTGAATAATGGATCAAAGGGTGTTCACACATTCTTTTCCAACTGTTTCCAATGAGGCTTCCCAGAGCTTAAGGCTGACCAATGTCTGGATATCTTTCAGGAATCTCAAGGTAATATCTTTCTGATCATTGTGTTTTATGGCCTTAAATTACAGATAAAGAAACTACCACTCAGAAAGTTGAAGAAGGAACTAACCACAGCCACAGAATAATATAACACAGTAAAAAGAGCACAGACTCTGGAGTCAGGGAGTCTAAATCCTGTGTGACCTTGGGCAAGTTACTTAACATCTCTGTTCTTCTATCTCCTTGTCTGTAAAATACTAATACCTATTTACCTGATAGGGCTGTTGTAAAAATAAATGAAGGTAATGCCTGAAGGGGTGACATCACTCAAAGACCCTGATGCTGGGAAAGATAGAGGGCAGGAGGAGAAGGGGGCGACAGAGGGTGAGATGGTTGGATGGTATCACCGACACAATGGACGTGAGTTTGAGCAAACTCCGAGAGATAGGGAAGGACAGGGAAGCCTGGCGTGCTGCAGTCCATGGGGTTGCAAAGAGTTGACACGACTGAGTGACTGGACGATGCCTGAAGAACTAGGAGGCTGAGCCAGGTCTCCATCCTCCTGTTCTGAGTTCAGTGTGATAACACACAGTGCCTGGTATTTGGTGAAAAAGTGAAAGTGTTAGTCCCTCAGTCCTGTCTGACTCTTTGCAACCCCATGGACTGCAGCCCGCCAGGCTCCTCTGTCCGTGGGATTCTCTGGGCAAGAATCCTGGAGTGGGTTGCCATTTCCTTCAGGGGATCTTCCCAGCCCAGGGATCAAACCTGGGTCTCCTGCATCGCAGGCAGATTCTTTACCATCTGAGCCACCACGAGTGCTAGATAAGTGGCGGTGCTTAAGGCCATCCCCCCACACTGCCTCTTTGGGAGATTCAGGGCTCAAATCACTGACAAATGGCCACTCAGCCTCCACCCGAGCACCTCGGGGACAGTCACTTGGTCACTTGTGGGGGTAAGTAGCTCAGTGGGGCAGGGAAGGTCAGGAATGTACTCACTTTGCCAAGTGTCGACCTCTGGTGACCTCTTCCAGCTTGTCCAGCCTGATGGCTTCCCTAGTGCATCTCCGGGATCCCACAGAGGAGGGGCCACTTCCGGAACTGACCCTGTCTACCTGGAGGTCTGTACAAAGCAGATTTAGCTCTGTACCCTGGTTCTGCGGCGGACAGCTGTTACCTCTGCCCCAGCCAGGCTCCAGCCCTCCTCTCCTGGCTCTTATACCTGCCCAGAGGGTGGCATGCCCTGGCCCCGAGCCTGCTCCGGTTTCAGCTGGAAGGACCTGGCTGTGATTATAATCCATCAGAAGCTCAAATCCCACAAACAAGAGCTTGTCACCTCGGGTCTCTGCTCTGCCCCTACCAGCCCAAAGAGGTGGGGTTTACTGAACTGGGCTCTTCCTGGAGCCTCTCACCCACAGCTACTGGGCGCCACGTGGTACCTGAAGCCCATCATCTAAGGCACTTCCCTGATGCCTTGTTGGGATGCAAATGTTGCAGGAAAGGGTCTAGCCATAGGGCCACATCCACCTCCCTGTGCTTCAGGGGAAACCTGGGGCTTGGGGGATGAGGAGAGGTCCCCCTGCTCTGGTCCTGTTTCCCGTCTCTCACACGGGGAGGTGATTCTTATTGGCCTGTCATGCCATGGGGTGAGGTTACACACAGGAAGCCCAGCATCTGGCACACAGTAGGCACGCTCTCGATTCGGATAGTTCTCTGTCCCAGGCTCATAGTGGGACTTCCCTGAATGCTGCTGTTGAAACAGAACCTCAAAGCTGGAAGGGGTTTCAGCCCCACCCAGACCAAGTGACCTCCACCCAGGACAGGCAGTCATGAAAAAATATGCCTAGCAAGGGACCCCCAGCCTGTTTGGGGTGGGTGAGCCCACTCCCTTGGGTGATTCACACCCTTGGACGGGCCAGCTGCCCGCTGGGGGACCACGGTACAGAGCTACAACTGTTTCACACAGACCTCCAAGTGAACAGGGTCAGTTCTGGAAGTGGCCCCTTTTCTTCAGGATCCAGGAAATGTGGGGTGGGGGGCGGCTCTAAAAGACCCCTTCCTGTTGGCCTTGGTGGAAAGGACTTGGGTCCCCAGATCCTTTCTCCATGGCCAGGTCTCCTGGGGCAATGCCCCAACCAGGAAGATAGGATACTGAAAGGACTTGTATTAATATTATGGGGAAAAACATTCAAGTGATGGGCCCTGTTGCCACCTCAAACAAGGCTGTTGCAATACGTGTTTGAACTGTTAACAGCCTGGGGGGTCACACATCTGGCCCTCCTGCTTTCATGGCCCCACCCCCAACTCTTTTTCCTCCACACTCGATTCCTGAACCTTTGGGCACTTTGGGAGGCCAGTGAGATGTGCCTTGCTGTCCCATTCTTTGTCCTTAAGTCTAGAAATGTGACCTGGCAAGAAAGCTAATTGCCACTTAGTGTGTTTAGTCATGTCTGACTCTGCGATCACGTGTATTGTAGCCCACCAGGCTCCTCTCTCTGTGGAATTCTCCAGGCAAGAATACTGGAGTGGGTAGCCATTCCCTTCTCTGGGGAATCTTCCTGACCCAGGGATGGAACCTGGGTCTCCCACATTGCAGGCAGATTCTTTACCATCTGTGCCACCTGGAAGCCCAAATCCCATGTAATTGGCTTCTGAAAAGCTTCCACGATCAGATTCTAGATGCCAGAGGGTTGAATGTCCCAGCACTGCCTTGCAGTCTGCTTCCTCCTTTCTCCACCAGACCACATGCCACCTCTTTTAGCACTGCAACAGTCATAGCCAGGAAACAATTTCAATGTCCAGTAAAAGGGGAAAAGGTTAATTGACCTATGGAACATCCACTCTGTGGATTATTTCTAAGAATTAAAAGCGATGTTTGCCAAGAGTTCATAAATGCACAGGAAGATGCTTCTGCTACTCTGTAAAGTGAAAAAAGCAGATATAAAATGAGATGTGCGGCAGTCACTGCTATGCAAAATAAACGCGAAGACATTAGGAGAAAAGGGAGAGAACACACCTGGTGGCTTGCTGGGCTGACTGGCTTCACTCTGAGCTGTGGATGGGTGCATGATGTACCCCCTCATGCATCCTGGGAGCTCTGGTCTCCATGCTCTGGCCCCTGTTATGGACCGTCTTCGCCCTCCTCACACACAATTGCCACTCCTTCAGCTCCTCACTCTCAGATGATGACTTTGTTCCTCTTTGAGAAAATGGGAGCCGTCAGTCCCTCCCTCACTCTTCCGACAGACCCACCGGCATCTCACGCCTCTCTTCTGCCTTCCTTCTGGGACAATGAAGGAACAGCCTCTGTTCCTTTCGGAAGCCAGTCCCTGGGGTCCCCCTAGATTTGTCACTCTCCACTTTTCTCTGCCTCATCCATCTCTCGCTTGCCCTTACCTCTCAACGTGACCATCCCCTCCACGATGGCTCCATCCTCTTCTTCCTCCACTCCACCTCTACCTCCTCGTCACTATTCAATCCCCCGCCTTTGACATCTGTCCTGACCACCCCTGCTCTTGTCAAGGTCCCCAGCAGCCTGCGTGTCACTCTAGGCCGGGGGTGGGGGGGCGTTCACTTTTCTGCTCTCATCTTCCTCCAGCCCCTCTGCTATTTGACAGAGCGATTCTCCTTCTCTTACATTTATTCCTTTACTGGCAGCTCCCCACCCCTCTATCTTTTGTGGCTGGTGTCTCCTCTCTTACCCACTTTTTAGGACCAGGAATTCTTTTATAATTTTCTACTTTATTAAGGAAATGATATATGGATATAGCTTTATTTAATAAGATTCGAACAATTAATGATAGATGTTCTGGAAGCAATTGTTGAAGACCCCTTTCATCCTGTCCTCTCCCAGTCCCATCCACACTTGGAGGGAACAACTACCAATTTTTTTTTCATTTTAAAATTTTACTTTTTATTTTAAATTGAAGTATACTTGTTGTACAACATTATATAAGTTACAGGTGTACATGATAATGACTCACAATTTTTAAAGGTTATACTCCATTTATGCTTATTATAAAACAGTAGCTATAGTCCCTGTGTTGTACAATAAGTCCTTGTTGCTTTATTATTATTATTATTTTGGGAGGTATGTGCCACATGGCTTGCAGAATCTTAGTTCCCCAACCAAGAATTGAACCTCGGGTCACGGCAGTGAAAACCTGGAATCCTAACCACTAGGCCACAAGAGAACTCCCACTTGTAGCTTATTTTCTACAAGACAATTTGTACCTCTTACTCCCCTTCCTTCTCCCCACTGGTAACCACTAGTTTGTTCTCTGTATCTGTGATAGAACCAGGGATTCCTAACATCCTGGTTCTAGGGCAGTTTTTCTTTTCTCTATAGACCCTATCTGGTCTCATGGATTTAAATATTATCTAAATGCTAATAACCTTTCATGACTCCGGACCACATGCTACCCTGGGCTCCACACTCATAGATCCGTTGCCTATATACCTTGAAAGTCTCCAAAGACATCTCAAACTGATCAGACTCAGAAAGAACTCTCAGTCTCCATCTCTAAACCTGGTCTCTCCACCCGCAATCACCTCCAAGCTGTTTTCCCACACAGCTCGTTAAACGACACCACCAGTCGTCCTGTAACAAAAGCCAGGGAGTTGAACTTCATTTCTCTGATCCCTCACCTCCATCCACGGGTGTCTAACTCTTCAAAGTTCCAGAAGTGATCTCAGGAGCATTCCTCTTCTTCCCTCTCTACTGCCTCCACCCTCATCCCAGCCACCGTTACCCCTCAAAGGCTGGTCCAACAGCTCCATGCCCCATCTTCCAGCAGCTTCTTGCCATCAGCTAGAGTGATCTATTTAAAACACAGATTACATCTCACCCTGGCTTACTCTAAAGTCTCCAGTGGCTTGTCACTGCATCAAGAATAAAGGCCTGCAAGGGCTGCTGTGACTCCCTCTATCCACTCCAGCTCCGTCCATCACCAGTCAAGTGCTGGTCACATGGCCCTTCTTACTTTCTTGAACATCTATCAAGTAGGTTCTCTCTGCCTGGAATTCTCTTATTCTGGCTCTCTGAATAACTCACTTTAAATGTCACCTCCAAAGAAAGGCCGACCTGACTACCCTTTTTAAAGCAGGCTCCCCTACTAATTCCTCTAACTCTTCTTCAGCCAGTGGTTTGTATAAGGGACAAAAACTTTGGGACTTCCCTGGTGGTTTAATGTTTAAGATTTCACAATTTTTAAAGGTTACACTCCATCTATAGTTATTGTAAAATAGCAGCTATATTCCCTGTGTTGTACAATAAGTCTTTGTAGCTTATTATTATTATTATTATTATTATGGGGGGTGTGCTGGGGCAGGGTTCCATCCCTCATTGGGGAACTAAGATCCCATCTGCTGCATGGTGTGGCCAAAAAATAAAAGCACTTTTTAAAAAGGAATAAAAATTTCAATTTAAAAAAATCACCTCCTCTTGGGAGCCTTCCAGGATTCAGTCTCTATTCAGTTTCCATCATGTTGGTCAATTCAGCTGCTTGAATGGGAGAACATAAACTTGTTTTCCACTGGGTGATCAGCATCTTCATTTCTTACAATATGATTTATTTCTTTTTATTTTTAAATCTTTTTAAAATTTATTTCTTACAATAATTTAATGCTTCATGACTTCTAGAGTAGAGCTTTATACAGCGTGTGTCTGAGCTGAACACTACCCAACAGCGCAGCACAACAGGCTCTAAAGCTAGATGGCCCTGGGTTCAAATCTACCCCAGCCCTGCCACTTCCAAGTTATAGGACCTTGAACAAGCATTCCAGTTATTCATTGCTGCGTAACAAACTACCCCCAAAATTAGTGTCTCAGAACAACAATATTTATTTTACAGTTTGGGACAGCTCATTTCCACTCTGCTTGGCATCAGCTGGTGCAGCTCCAAGGTTGGAAGCTGTGTCATCTGAAAATTCCTTCTCTCACATGTCCAGGGCTTAGTGGGGACCAGAGCTGGCGTTGTTGACTGGAACACCTTCATGTGGCCTCTCCCATGAGGCCTCGCTTCCTCCCAACATGGTGGCTGGGATCCAAGGGAAAGTGGATTGAGGGAGAGAGAGACTCAGAGAAACAGAGGCAGAGAGAGACTGAGCTGTTGGTCATATTACCTTTTATGACCTAGTTTGGAAGTCACACTGTCACTTCTGCCGTTCTCTGTTGGTTGAGGCAGTCACAAAAGCTGCTCAGGTTCAAGGCGAGGGAATATAAACCTCATCACTCAATCAGAAGAGAGTCAATGCCACACTGTAAAAAAGAATAATCAGGGGACTTCCCTGATGGTCTAGTGGTTGAGAACTCACCTTGCAATGCAGAGGACGTGGGTTCTAGCCCTGGTCGGGGACCTAAGAAGCCTGCACACACTTGAGCCCCGCGCCTCACCACTAGAGCGTCCATGTGCTGCAGCGAAAGATCCTGCCTGACACAGTGAAAATCCCACATGCTGCAACTAAGCCACGATGCAGCCAAATAAATAAAGAAATATTTTTTAAAAAAAGAACAATTGGGATAAGTTATACATCCCTGAACCTATCTTTTAAAAATACAATCAATCACAAGAAGTTCCTAACCTTTCCGGGATCCTCTGATGAAGTGTTGGGCACCAAGCCTGGCATGAGTGCTCAGGGGGCGGGAAGCCCCAGGTGGTCTCCCCACCTGCACCGAGCCAAGTCTGGGCCCCTGGCAAGTCTTATTCCTCCTGTTTCCCTCCTCTGAACTGAGTCCAGAGCCCCCACCTTGACTCTACCCACCCCCCCAACCAGGGCCCTGCTGTTCCCCTGGCTCTTCTGGGCTGCAATGTGGATTCAGGGCTCCCCACATCTGAAGACCCTCAAAACAGGAAGGGCCATTAGCACCCTGCTCAGCCATGACTGTTGGGACCCAGACAGGGTATGTGGTAGAGCCAGGACTCTCGCCCAGGCCCACGTGGGGAGATCCAGGCAGCTGCTGTTGTGACCATGAGTGTCAGGAATGGCTGAGCAGCCTGCTCTAGCACGTATTCCCCTGCCAGGGTTCACATCATCCAGGCATCTCCAAGCCCACATTCTGCATAAATGGAGAAACTGAAGCTGAGAGAGGGTATGCAGTTTCCAAGAGCCACACAGCATCTCTCTGTGCTGGACCAGAACCAGTCTACAAGAAATGGAGGCATCAGATCTAGAAGGACACTGTCATCCATTATATCCCATGGTGTCTTCTGAGGCCGGAGAAGCAGAGGAGGACCTGCGTTGGCCCTTGCCTTTGTGGAATGTCATGCCATCCTGTGGGTGATGACTCTCTTGTGGCTCATCTCCTCCCTTGACTGTGTGCTCCATGGGGTCAGGAATTCACCACTGGCAAGTCCACCACTGTGGCCCTCTGTGGACTGGGTGAGTGGACAGTCAGTGTGGGCAGGGGAGCTGGGGCTTTGCCAGGAAGGGGTGGAAATGCCCCTGAAGAAGTGTTTGCAGAGGACCTGTCGAGTGGCCCTGCTCCTTACCTGGCTGGTGGAGGGCACCTGGAGAAAGGGTTTGAGGATGGAGGGGGCACTCACACACCTAGACACCCCTAGATGGGAATGAAGCCATGCCTCACAAGGAGAGGGCATACCCGGGAGTGTACTCACCGCTGTGGGGGAGGTGGGGCAGATACAAAGTGGACCTGGGGCCAGCTGTGAGTCTAGGGCTGAGGAGGTGAAGCAACAGGATTGGGGGGAGGAGGAAGAGGAGGGAAAGAGAGAAATGGAAAAGGAAGGGGAGAAGGGTTAGGAGGAGGAAAGGAAAGGAGGAGGAACAGAGGGAGGAAGAGGCTGCAGAGGGGTAAACACGGCTCTGCCCCCCACCCCCGCAAGGGGGTGCCACCCTGAGGGTGATCGCCAGCCCGCTGGGCAGCCAAAGGACTTCCGATGACTCTGTCCAGCAGGGGATCAGCGGCGATGGGGAGTAGCAGCGAGGAGAGGGGGAGGGGAAGGTGTGACAGCCACGTGGGAAAGTCAACAACACGGGAGCACAGGTCTGGAAGGAAAGAAACGACGCCCATCAGAGTCGGGGCTCCAGGGTCAAATGGAGTTGCTCTGTTGGGGACGTGTGAGGAACAGGGCAACCGGGTCCAGCTCGCACTAGCTCCCGCGGGAACCAAAACCTATTCCCAAAGCACCTGCATGTCTGACTCCTCAAAATGGGTCGCCTTGATTTTAGCCGGGCAGAGCCTGAGACTGGGTTCAGGGAAGAAGCGAGCGTGCCTGGGGTCACAGCAGGTCAAGGCGTGGAGAGCTGGGCAGGCACCGAGGGCCAGACGCTCCCCACGACTATGAGAGGGAAGCCAAGCCTGGACACGCGGAGCAAGCCCTTGGAGGCGCGAGGTCTGGCGTCCATGCCGGCTCTGCCAGTAACCGTGGGCCGGGATCGCCGGTCTTCCCCAGGCTTCAGTTTACGCATCTGTACATTGGGATGATCTGTCTCGCTCCTCCAGGTTCTGGGGGGCGGAGTTCGCGCACGCTCCGCACAGCCGCGAGGGGCGAGGTGCTCGGCGTGTATATGGATGCTGGCTCCCGCGATCTGAGGTCCTCCCGGCCTCTGCCTGGCAGTCCCCAGCCTCGCCGCTCGCGCGACCCCTGCGCGGACGAGGGGCGCTGGGGCGCCTCCGCCGGGGGCGTCGCCCAGGCCAGTAGGGGAGGGGACGGCGGCGGAACGGAGGCGGAGGGAGCCCGGGCCTCGGCAGCCTCGGCCGGCCTGACCCTCGAGGGGGTCGCTGTTGCCTCGCAGATCCCTCCCTCGCTCGCCTCCTGTATCCCTCCCTGCCGCTCCCGCCGCGTCCGCCTTTTGTTCGCGGAGCCGCGCGTCCCCGAGCCGAGGCGGCGGGGCGGGGAGCTGGCGGGGCTGCGCGGGGGGCGGGCCGCGCCGGGCGGAGCCGGGGCCCGGGCCGCAGCCGGACTCGGAGCTCGAGAGAGCGATCGGCGCGCAGGCAGCCGGGGCCCGGGCACGCTCCGGGGGCGCGGCGAGGCCGAGGGGGCGGGCGCCGGGCGGAGCCGGAGCCGGAGCCGGGGTGCCTGGAGGCGATCGGGCCGCTCTCTCCGAGCCCAGAGCAGCGGAGAAACCGTGCGGCGGGGGTCGGGGCCGGAGCGCAGCCCGGGGGCTGAGGTGGGCCGAGAGGAGCCGCGACCCCAGCGGCCGGAGAGGCGCCAGGAGCCTCTCCCGGGGCGCGGAGGCCGGGCAGGCCTGGGCCATGCGCGCCGCTCGTTGAGGCCGAGGGAAACCGCGATGGAGGTGCCGGCGGGGGAGTCCCCGGCTCGGGGCTGCGGCCCCCCGCCTGCTCCCGGCCCGGAAAGGAAGAAGAGCCACCGCGCGCCGTCGCCGGCCCGGCCCAAGGACGTGGCCGGCTGGTCGCTGGCCAAGGGCCGCCGCGGCCCAGGCCCGGGCGCCGCGGCCGCTTGCAGCGCCGCGTCCTCGGCGAGGCCCGACAAGAAGGGGCGTGCGGTGGCGCCCGGGGCGCGGGGCACAGGGACGCGGGTGGCCGGGGTCCGCACCGGGGTCCGCGCCAAGGGCCGTCCGCGCCCGGGGACCGGGCCGCGACCGCCGCCACCGCCGCCCAGCCTCACCGACAGCAGCTCGGAGGTGTCGGACTGCGCGTCGGAGGAGGCGCGCCTGCTGGGCCTGGAGCTGGCGCTGAGCAGCGACGCCGAGTCGGCGGCCGGGGGCCCCGGGGGGGCCCGCTCGGGACAGCCGCCCCAGCCGGCGCAGCCGGCACAGCAGCCTCCGCGGCCCCCCGCCTCCCCCGAGGAGCCGTCGGTGGCCGCGTCGTCGGTGGGCAGCAGCCGCCTGCCCCTCAGTGCCTCGCTCGCCTTCTCCGACCTCACCGAGGAGATGCTGGACTGCGGACCCGGCAGCTTCGTGCGAGAGCTGGAGGAGCTGCGCTCGGAGAACGACTATCTCAAGGTGCGGGGTCCAGGTGGGGGAAGGGGAGGCCGCGGGGAGGCGCGGGTGTCCGCCCCACCGGCCAAGGCACTAGCCGGCCCGCTGTCCCACCGCTCGAGCTGGGCAAGGGGCCTAAACCCTCAGGGCCTCCCTCGCATCCCGCTTCCCATTGTATCTGGGAAACCTTCTCCTAAGGGAGGAACCTGGAGGAGGAGACTGCCCAGGAGCCCTGATTTGGGAAGGGGGTCTTGAGTGCTTTGGAGGATGCTTAGATACGGTGCCTGGGATGGGGGTGGGTGCTCCGTGAGGGGCTGGACCTCGGATTCCGCGGCTCAGAGCCCCCACCCCCAGGCCGCTGGGTGGCCCTCCTTTCTGGGACAGGCACTGGTGTGCAGTTTGCCGGGAAGACCTGTGGCCATCTCCGGCCAAGGAGAGGCCTGAACACTAGCCCGAGTCTTCACCCAGGGCTTTCCTGGCTCAGGCCTGTCCCTGCCTGCCTTTCAGGGCGGGTCCTCGTTTGAAAGCATGACATCTGGGAACATCCCCTTGGCTAGAGTCCGACTTCCGCCCAGTCTAACGGTCCTGCAGCCTGGGAGGATGGTGTCCTGGGAGAACCCGTTCACAGCTCCGTAAATCCCAGGGTATTGTCTTCTGCTCAGTTTGGGATAGGCCCCGTATACCCAGCAGTCCTATTGGTGCCCCCCAGCAGTGCCCATCTCCTTTGCAGTGAGAAGAGGGAAGCTGGCATCTGAAAGAGGATTTTTCTCTGGGCCTGTAAGGGACCTGAGAGTTTCCCAGGAAAACAGGCTTGACCTTCACCCTCTGGGTGGACATGAGCACCTACTGGGTGCAGGCCAAGCTCTGTCTGCCCACTGAGGCAACTTTAGGGACGGCTCGGCCCTCACACGTCAGTGTTGGCCTGGGAGATTGCCAAATTCCTGGGTTCTCCTGCCACGGGCTGGGCACGGTTTGGAAGAGGCTGAAATGTTACCTGCTCTTATCAGTTGATATCCTGGCACAGTATCCAGAGCATCCCTGGCCAAGAGCCTCTGAGTTCATGGCACTCTGCTAATTTCTGTCTGCCTGGCAACACTTAGCCTTGCACTGTAGCTCTTCGGGCCAAAAGGGTTTCTCTGTCTTTATTTATTTATTTGGTTTCTCTGTCTTTAGAATCTGTGAGGTCTTGCTTAACTGTGTCTCTCCCTCTCCATCTCCCCCAGGATCTGCTACCCAGCATGTGTTAAGTAACTTCTTGTACAATAGAAGGATAGGGTCTGTCTGAATCAGAATAACCTACCCCTTTAGCCTCTAACCTTTCCCCAGGCCAGGCCTTAGTTTTCTTATCTGTTAATTGGGAGGGTAAGCCTTCCTGAAGCCCCCATTCAATGTGGACAGTCGGGGGCTCAGTCAGCTCCTGCAGTCTTCACAAGCCAGCTGTGAGAAGACAGTGAAGGGTAGGTGAGAGGAGGGAGATAAGCCAGAGAAGGCCTGGCCCTGCCCAGGTGGTGCCTGACCTGCTCTGAACTCAAACCCTGAGCTCCTCAATCCTGCCTCCTGGCTTCCATCGCTCCCCCTGGCCAGGGAAGATGGGCCATAGAACTTGGCTTCACAGTCTCCCGCACCCACCCCCACCAGCTCCTGTTCATCCCAGGAAGTCACCCGGCAGAGCTCTGGACTCCTGCTGAGCCACCCATGACTGTTAGGATGGAAAATAGTTCCAGAAGCTGGAGATTGAACCTGAGGCCTCACAGGGGCCAGGGCCTGGCTGGGGACCACCCACTGCCTGTATCAGGGCTCAGCCTCAGTTTCCCTCATTCATTCAGTGTTTCTGGCTTCACATGCAGGCCTCAGGCCACTGTTAGATCTGGAAAGTGTGCCTTCCTGGCTGTGTGATCTTGGGGAAGTCCCTTAATGTCTCTGGACCTCAGTCTCCTTGTGGTAAAAAGAGACATCACACATCTTCCAACCTTACGGGTTAAATGAGTTATGTGCGCAAACACCATGAGAGCGCCTGGCATGGAACGAGCCTCAGAGGAGGGTAATTTCCACCACTGTTATTCTCAAGTGGTACATGACACATTTCCGTGGGCGCTTACCATGTTCTCTGGCAGACTCCGTGGGGAAGGAATAGAGCCTCCTCCCCACCCAAAGCAGTCCTGGCCCCTCATTCATTCATTCGCCAGCTATTTACTTAATGCCTGCTGTGTACCAGGCACTAACATAGATCTGAGGACGAAGTGTCTGTTTTCATGGAGCTGTTGGTCCTCGTGGAGGAGACTGGAATTAAGACAGTAGTCATACACTACGTCACACACTGCCTCACACTACGGACCGTAATAAGGGTGGGGAGGGACACAGCGTGCTGAGAGCACATGAGGGTGGGACTGGGGGTGCTTTAGGGAGGCCGGGATGAGAGGGAGCCAGCTGAATAAGGAGCTGGAGTGAGACCCTTCCAGGCTAAGGGAAGTAGGAAGAAACTTGTGGAATCCAGGGAACAGTTCCGAGTCTGGAGAGAGGGGGGAGAGGGAGGAGATTGGATGGGAGAGATGAGCAGGACTGGACTGTGAGGTTAATGCTGTGTCCGTGAATCAGTCCCTGATCTTCTCTCCATCTGCCAGCCTCACAGAGGCAAGGTGAAAACCTAGAGACTGTGGATGTGGGCCGTAAATGCAGAAGCTATTACAGGAGTTGAGTGCTTTGTTTGGTTTTGTTTTGGGGGGCACGCCGTGCAGCATGCACGATCTTAGTTCCCGGACCCAGGGATCAAAGCCGCATTCCCTGCAGTGAAAGTGCAGAACCTTAACCACTGAATCGGTTGGGAGGTCCCAGAAGGAGTTGTTTTGTTCATTCTACAGATGGGTAAACTGGGGCCACAGCAGGGAGGGGACTTGCTCCAGGTCCCAGAGCCAGTTCTCCAGGCAGCCAAGCTCGGAGTCAGAGTACCTGGTACTCTTGACGTGTTTCTTGCCCCTCTGGACCATTTTGCGTCTAAGATGCAGGAACCGAGTTACCAGGAGAGACTCCAGATCCCCAGCATGTCCGCAGCAGGCCTGCTGCTGCCTGGCTTGAGTCCCTCCGAGCCCGGTGGGGCCTTGATCAAGCTCACCTCCCAGTTGATGGAAGGCTCTGGGACCTGTTGCCTGGGGAAGGCCTTGCAGATGATGACGGCAGATCTCCTGTGGCCTGAGGCTTGTTCTGGGACCCCAGGGGGTAAGGTGGAAACCCAGCAGCTCTCTCCCAGTGAGGAGCTGCTACAGAGAAGGGAGTGAGCTTGCTGTCACTTGAGTTATTCAGGGTTATTCAGTGCTGGAGTTATTCGCCTGTTAGATAAAGACATGGGGTTTGTGGAAAACAGCTTGTAAACTGAACAAAATGTAGTGGTTGTGATTACTTGAGGAGGATTTAGGAAGAGGTTTATGTGAAGGCTGTAGTTGAAATTGCCTGACCTCAGGGTCCTTCCAGCCAAGGAAGTGTGAAGGAACTTTTTAAAAATTTTTTTAAAGATTTTGAAGTATAGTTGCTTTACAATGTTGTGTTAGTTTCTACTCTACAGCAAAGTGAATCAGCTATATGTATACTTATATCCCCTTTTCTTTCCTTCCAATTTCTCAATGTCCACAGGACACTGAGTAGGGTTCGCTGTGCTCTAATAGTGAGGTTCTCTTTAGTTATTTATTTTTACACAGTATCAATAGTTTATATATGTCAACTCCAATCTCCCAATTCATCCCATCCCCTCCTTTCCCCCTTGGTATCTATGTTCTCTACCTTGAAGGTTATTAACTTTTAAGGGTCCAGGATTCAAAGATGCAGACAGATTGACTGTTTGACCTTCAAAATCCTGGTGGTCTGAGGTCTTCCATTTCCCCATCACCACTAACTGTTGCCCATGTACCATTAGGACAAGCTGGGAACCACCCAGTGTGGACTGAAGAATCTGAGAGTTGGAACCCAAAGATCTGGCTTTGTGACCTGACTGTCATTTACTGTGTGGCCATAAGTGAGTCACGTGGCCTCTCTGAGCTCTCTTTTTGTTTCATCTGTATAATGAAGATGATGGAACCTGCCTGGGCAACCTCAGAGGACTGTTTACAGGGATCAGGGAGGTGTGAATAGACAAGAAGACTTTTTGCAAGCAGTGAAATCCTGCACCTTTTAGGCAATTAGCATAATTATTAGTCAAGGAGCAGAGAGGATGTCTAGGTCTTCATTCTTTTTTGGGGGGGGTGCAGCTGTGCTGGGTCTTTGTTGCTATGCAGGCTTTATCTAGTTGCGAGGAGTAAGGGCTACTCTCTAGTTGTGGGGCGTGGGCTTCTCTTGTTGCAGAGCACAGGCTCTAAGGCACAGGCTCAGTGGTTGTGGCGCATGGCCCTAGTTACTCTGAGGCGTGTGGGATTCTCCCGGACCAGGAATCGAACCTGTGTCTTCTGCATTAGCAGGTGGATTCTTTACCACTGAGCCATCAAGGAAGCCCTGAAGTCTTCAGTCTTGATAGAGCTGGGAGAAGACAGGAGGGTGGATCCCCTTAGCTTTAAGATGTTAATAAATCAGGAGCTGCTCCAGGGAGGACAGGAAGGTGTGGGTCACATTCCGTACTGTGTGGACTCCATGAAGCAAGCCCTCCCCACCTCCCTGGAGGTTCTACATGTAAGAGTTCATGCGTGCATGCTAAGTCGCTTCAGTCATGTCCGATTCTTTGTGACCTATGGCTCCTCTATGCATGGGATTCTTCAGGCAAGAATCCTGGAATGGGTTGCCGTGTCCTTCTCCAGGGGATCTTCCCTATCCAGGGATCGAACCCATGTCTTTTATGTCTCCTGCAGTGGCAAACAGGTTCTTTACCACTAGTGCCACCTGGGAAGTTGGAAGTACAGCCAGTTTTAGATGTCAACCCAAAAGTGACCAGAAGAAGCATCTAATTCACCTCCAGTTCCCATTGGGTACAGTTGGGCAAATGAAGGCTCCAGCTCACACAGCCAGAATTCCAAACCTGGTTGGTCCAACCCTGGATCCTGTTCTTT